GAGCCGGTCGATAATTTATGCCAGCAATTAAGTGCCGACCATTTGCCATGCAACTAAGTGGCAAATTGTTCGCAATTAGCGCGCACATTTAATCGCAGTACATACATATTTAATGCTCTCCAGCGCCCAGCTTCTGTTTTTATTTCCAGTGACCTATAAATGTTCTCTGGCGCCATTTCACTCTCGCTTTTCGAGTTGCTCCCATTCACCGTGATACCTTTGCCCCACATATCCTCGCTGCTCATTAGTGGCACCGCGTGTATATATTTTTCACCTGATTTGGGGAAACTAGTTTGACAACATCTCGGAAAGCCATTAAAAAAATGATAATACAAAAAGAAAGAAAGAACCGACGAACGCACGCAGAATTCACAAAAGCCGAAACACGCTCATGTGCTCCATTTTCCAATAGCCAAATGCGAATGTCTCCCCTCTCTCTCGCTAGGTGTTCACCCCTCTCTTTCGCCGGCTGTAAGCCCCTCTCTTTCTGCATCTGCGATGTTTGGTGAAATTGTGTCACCCAAGAAGTGACGTTAATGACGCCGCTCGCATCCCTGACCTGGCTGAAAGTCCCCGCTCCCCTTCCCCATCTCCTCCATATCTTTTGGCCAGCTGCTTTTGGCCCACTTCTTTTCGGCCAGAGCGAGAGGGGAATGGCCTGCCAGAGAGCGATACAGGGAGAGAGCTCTCGAGTCGTAGGAGAACCTGAACCTGTCGCTTTCTATTACTCCGAACGAAAATTTCGCACAATAAATTGCGTTTTGAGGTCAAGCGAATTAAACTCGTCACCTGCCACGCCCACAATTGGTCGCCTCAACTTGTTAAGAACAATTAGATCAACAATTGTGACTCACAGGCAACGAATTGAGACTTGTTTATTTGTTTACTTTATCTGACAGGAGCCAAAACACTTCGATTGCAACATTTTCATGGGAAGTGACCTCAAAAACGGGTTGATATCGCTTAAAAGCTGCAAAAGTTTGTAGTTTGCATTTCTGTTATCGCTGAACAAATGCAGCTGCTTTCGCCCTCCCACTTTTTAGGGGTTTTGTGACTGCCTGCTCCATTGTGCAAATATAATTAACATAACGTAAAGTAATCGCAACTTTTGAGCAAAGAAAACGAAAATAAAAATCTTCGTTTAACTTTCTTTTGTGCGGCGGCAGAGAAGCCAACCGCGGCAGAGGCCTTGCCATTGTTGTCTTTGATTTCTTCTTCAAAAAGAAAACATTAAAAAAAACATTAAAGCGTTTTCCGTTAGCTGAGCGTTATTGTTGTACTCATATTTCGGGTTATTACTTACTGGAGATTGACTTCCCAAAGATAAATTTGCCGAAATTCAAACACAATTGACTTTCATATACAGATCTTTTACTAGGCTTACTTCTAATTAAAAGTTCTTTTCGAGATTTAAGATTGGATTCGATTATTATATTATATTTAATGCCGAAAACTTAACGTTAATATTCCCAGTGTAGGCACCTTTCTCACTGTCATAAATCCTCCGCAAGCCCCCTGGTCAATTGCTGTCAAACTGGGAAATGGCTCGCTGTCCACTTCGGTGCTCCTATTTATTTGTTTGCCGACTAGTTTTGACAGCCTTTGTATTTGCATAGGCAACGATGACGGCCATTAGAACCAGCAGCGTGTGGAAAGTGTACACTTTGCAGCAAACAATGCGAGCTACAGATTGAAAACAGCAACTACAAACACGGTGCTAAACGAAAAGGCGCTGTGGACAGAGATGACACATGCACCTACACACTCACTCACTCGCCCGCCCGCACTCGCAGATACAGATACACATTGTATCTGGCTGTGGAGTATTTTGAACTCGTGTAATCTCTGGCATTGTGCTGAGCTTTGCAGCTGCAAAATGTAGAAAAAGTGGAAAAATGCTCAGAATTGGGTCACACTCGTTGGCTTTTATGCCAGCTTAGATTGTTGTCAATGGCTATGTCTCTGCCTGCCGCCTGCCGCCTGCAGGTTCCCAGCCAAGTGGAAACTTTTTTGACTAACTTTTCGAGTATCAGTTCTTTGAACCCTGAAGCAAAATATACATAGGCAATCGGAAAATGTCAATTTTGAAAGTTCCATATGGTCATAGTTGAGATTAAACATTCTAATTTTAAGCAAACAAAAGAAATATTTCCATATTTGTATTATTTTGTTTAACAAAAGTTATTTATTTAGTCCAAACATATAGTAAATATGGTAAATTGTTTTATATAATATATATAGTATAAAATTTGTTTGCTTGTTAAAATTATCAAGCCCAATTATATCAATTTCCAAAGCAAAACAATACTCATAGCTTAGAGTAGTTTTGCAACGTGTACTTCTTCATTTTGAGATGTAATTTGGCGACATAATCGTGGCCACTGAACGAAATAACCACAAAAGCCAATTAAAATCAAATTTCCTTCAGTAGGAAATAGAGTCGCGACAGAAACGGACTGACAATGTCCGGTGCAGACAGGTAATCATGGCCAAAGAAGTTGCAACCCGATGCAGCAGTCAAATGCCAGACAAAATGTGACCCATTCCAATGGCAAGTATCAAGCGATGAGCCAAGCTCAGGTGTATTGATGTACAGGTAAACATCCACGCCCTCGTCAGAGTTCAATGTTTGCACTTTTTGCCATCTCTTTCGCCCTGATGGCAGCTCGTCTTCTACCGACTTGTCAGCCAAACTTGTAAGTTGTAATTGTGACCTCATAAGGCGGGGTATTTCAGAAATATGACTGGCTGTGGCATATCAATTGAAAAATAAAATGTTATAGTTCAGTTTTTCCTAGATTTAAGTGAGTCATTTCCCTGGTATTGAAATTAATTCAAAACTTTAACTTTACTTCTTTGGGAAATCAGATGGTTAACAAAATATGTTTTTACTTCTCGGAAAATGAATTAATTAGTTATATTAGTCAAAGAGAAATTTGAGTGACCTTGTAAATAATTCAAATGACACGAAAATCCAGAAGTGCTTTCTTAGAAAAACGAAAATGAATTGGTTCTTTATAACAAAGACTCTGACCTCATTCGTGTGTGGATTGCGTCTTTATATCAGGGGATTGAGGGTTTATGCAGTGGACTTTGTAATCAGATAACAAAACAAATACAGTTGACACTTTGAGGAAGAGCATGAAAAGTTCTGTAATTTCCGTTTGGGTGGATAGCTTCGTTGGTAGCTCTTCCGCACGATATTGACACAGTGCCACCCAAAGTTCATAGCTCACAGAAACACATCTGCAGTGTAGTTTTCTCTGGCCAAGTTCATTCACATTTCGACGCGCTTGAGCTATATAATTAAGAGAGAATCAGTGGGCTGTTGTTGATTATGCCCGCTTGATTTTTATCACACTACTACTGGGTGTGCGTTATGTATCGTGCGTGCCGAAACGTCTTAACAATCTATTTTGGCCATAACGCGCAATTGGCACTCATTATCATAGTCACCCACTCCCCAAACCGCGCACTCTGTTGTGGTGGGCCATAAAGACAAACTGTCGCTTTATTTATTTTGGCTCCGTTTGTGGGGTTTTGCTTGAGTGTGGTCAGGATTGAGTGTGCCCCGCAGCTATGTTTATGGCCCACTTTATGCAAATCCATTGTCAAGCTAATGGTCGCATTTCCCCCTCTAGCTTTTCACTCCCTAAGCATTTTGGTAATTGCTTGAGAAATTCTGCGTTCTGATTCATCAGCTTGTTCTTGGGCCCTACCCTTTTACATTCCTACTGATTTTAAGGAAAGGCTCCAATATTATGTCTTAATATCAATTTTATCAAGCACGTAATCTTATCTTTTTAGTATGATTTGTATTTGTATTTACAGTCTTAAAAATAAATTTAAAATAAATAATAGTTTTTAGGCTAAATTAAGCTGAAGGAGCGGTTGTATATACTCTCTTTTAGGGTATAGACATGAGCATTTTGTGGGGACCAAAAGCGTGATGGGCGTGGCAGTTATGCATGATAACCTTGCCGCCATTCAGAATTTTCGACATTTCAATTCCGTATCCCCTTTGGCACTTGCCTGTTATTTCTGGTGCCCCAAGTCCTTTCTCATTCCTTTTTGCTGGCATGCCCAGACGGGGAGTCATAACTCTCGGGTTTATGTTGTAGGTGCCTGGGAATCTGACATGCCTCTAGCATGACATAATAATGTCAACCCCACGGGGGCCTTCGCTCGCCTAACCTCAGCCATTTCCCCATATAAACACATATCTCCCTCTAAATAATTCGTCATCGCTGGCGTGTGTGCACAAAGAAAAGAGAGTACAGAGTATATGCTAAGTAGCTATCGCTTTGGATTGGGGGAATCAGGGAATCGGGGCTATATGCCGATGGGAGGTTAACGGGAAGAAGCATCAAGGGTGTTATCGCCTGAAAATTGCCTCTACGTGTTTCGTTTGAATACGTTTGAATCAATTCGTCGTTACTGCCAGCCAGTAGGCAGTGATATAATACTCGAGTTTGGCATGCACAACAAAGCCCCAAAGTTTGATATACATATAATAATGTCATTCATATATATATAGATATGCAGCTGTGCACAGTGAGAAATATGACTGAAAGTGTTACAACCATAAAACTGAGCTGAACAGAAAAGTTAAATAAATTCAAATAAATCAGCTTTTAAAGGGATTTTACGTTTCGCACTTTGTACCCCATTTAGTTTTCATGAAAAGTTGTTATACAACTATTAAGATTATTAAGAAAATTATTTTAATTGCTTAATATTAAGCATAATCGCACATAAAATGAGTAAGTAATATCAAGCTGGAATGTTTTTAAAAACCTTTGTTTTAAAGTGATTAAATTTCGCATCGTTATCGTAAGACGCAGTTTTCGAGAGCGACTTGTCTCGACCTCGGATGTGACTAATTCAACGGGGAACGCAACTGGCACTGGGGCTTTTAATTGCATTTCCGTTCTGTCTCCAAGCGATCTTCGTTCTCATTCCGATTCTCAAGCTCCTCCTCTCCGATTATCTCTTTGCAGAAAGCGTCAAATCCATACTGGGTCGCCACACAAAGATACTCGTCAAGTATATGGTCAAATTGGAGACAAAAGGCGATAAGACGGAGAATCGTGTTCTGGTAAGTGAATTCCCCATTCCTCCCTACCCTCTCGAAGCCTGGCTAATTGGCCTAGCTTTCGGCCTGCTGCCAGCTACGTCAGATCTTCGGGAGTCCAGATCTGATGACGGCCAGCAGCAGACGCCGTCTGTCAGCGGCACAGATTCAAATTGCCGCATCTGCGGGCGGTCAGTGGTCCAATTTGTGTCTGGAAATTGCATCCCCCAGCAGCCTAATTGCCTCAAATTCGAAAGAGGCTACCGTTTCGCCTAAAGTGCCATTAAAGTAATGAATATTTGCAGCCTTGGCTCGCGAATTCCTTGTAATTGTGTGTCAAATTTGCCTTTTAAAAAGGTTTTCATAAAAAAAAAAAAACTAACAAATTCAGATAAAATTAGAAAGAATTATGTAAATGTGGCTAGTTTTCAACAAATATTTGACTTTAATGGATTCTTGGAAGTACGTCTGTGCGGAAACTAAAGTTGGGCTTATCAATGTCCCTAATCATAAGCATAAAATTCTCATGAATAAATTCATAAATTCCCACGTCGGAGCTGTTGATAAAAATGAGTTGAAATACCGACTATACAATAACATTCTTTAAAATAATTTCGAATAAATATATAAATAGTTTCCATGAAGGTTGTAAATAGTTCGCAAATCTATTAAAGTGAAAAGTAACACAAATAATCATCCTTATTATCTTTTCAATACTACTTACCAGTAATTATTCCATTATTCTTCTATGAAATTATAAACAAAATTCCACTTTGTTGCTATATTCTTTACGAAACGTATACCAACGAAACGCACTGTACACCCCAGAGCTCATAGTATTACACAGTCTAACTAGTCTATTAGCTAAACCTCTACAACATTCCGATGGGGGCAACCGATTTGAAAATACCCGTAGGCGAGCAACTGGCCCAGAGCCGTAATTGATATTTTATAGCATACTTAGCGGCGAAGGGGCACGACTTTTCTCCCACCTGGGCATTCCCTTGGGGCTGGACTATGCTAATTTCATTCCTGGCCACTTGTACGGCCGCTTGGAGAGCGCACATAGCTGGAAAATTGATTTGTGCAAGCGGCTTACAAGGTGGCAGAGACAAAGTGTCCAATTACCAAAGTCGATGGGGCCAACTCTTCATTCTCCTCCTCCAAGCCAACTCAAGTTGCTGTTGGGCTATGCATTTGAGAGGCTAAATGAATTACTCAACGCACTTTGATTTGCCATTAAAAGCAGCGAACTTTTCCCAATCAATGCCCGCTAGACAAAGGCCGGCCAAATTGAGTTTTGAGTCTCCGGTTCTCGTGATAATGGAGTTACACTCCACTGACTGTCTGAAGAATGGTCTCCTGCCTGCCCCCCTTGAATCCCCTTGAATTATTAGCCAAGCATGTTGGCACGCATGTCTGGCCTGTGTTTCCTTTGCCAATTACAACACTTTTCACTCATGTTTTTTCCACCTTCTCTTTCTTTTCGCAGGTTTTTACTCCCGTGAGGGTATATTTGCTCAGTGCCAAAGTGCCCACCAAGGTGAATTCCATGTCTCTATTTTAATTATTACAGCTTAATTAATTACAAAATTACTTACCCTTAGATCGAATGCCATTTCCACTACCTGGACATTGTGGGCGTCGAAAGCAAGAAGCCCACCCACTTTGCCATTGTCACCAGCGATCGACCATACTCGTTCGTTACTACCGGCGATGCGGGCAATTTCAGCTCGGTAAGGCAAAACCGCTTACTGGTTATTATCTGTAATGTTCTATATGTAATTATCCCCATTTCGGCTGTGTTCATTCTGCAGAACGCTGATGTCATTCTGAACGATCTGGCCTCGGCCATCAAGCAGATATTCCCAACAGTTCCTCTAAAATACATTATCCGAAAGGTAAGTTCATTCAAAGTTAAAAAGGGTTAAAAGGGAATATTTAAAACAGATATAGATTAAGTTAAATCAGAACATTAGATTTTTACGATGTTTAAAGGATAAAGCAGGGAGATATATAGTAAAACTAAGTAACTACTTTCAAACAGCTAAGTTGGATTTATACCAACTTAATTTTATTCATTTTCTACGCATGTGTAGAGTTCTAAAGAGTTATATTGAAATTATTTCCCATCTCTTTAACCCACTGAGTCCCGTTGAGTGGTGCAGTATCGACCGCTTCTCGCCCACTGACTCACGTCTGGCTTTAATTAATGTTTAATTAAATATTTAGTGAGCAATTGTGTGTATCTGTTGTGGGTACATCGAAACATGGGGACATGCTCATATGAGGCATCTCACCCACTGTGTCAGCATGCCACCCCCGCCCCTTGTCCAATTAGACCGTAAGTGCATAAACGTCGTCATCTGCTCAAGTTGGGGTTAATAATTCAATGCATTTGTAATGTTCCTGGCCCGGGTTTGTCGTAAATTATGCTGGGTATGTTTATGCAAATCGCCTGAGATCCGCCCACGAAGCACCTACGACCATAGTTCCATAGGTCCCCCAGCCCATTGTTGTTGTTTTGCGACTTTTATCTAGCAATTCCACTGGAAAGTGGCAGCAACAATTGAAGCTACATGGCTTGGATAATTGCCGCAGGGCACGCGACCCGGGCGTCATCAGGTTGACGCCTTGAAATGTAGCCATCAAAACTCACATTCAGCAAGAGTGTTAAATGCGAGATTAAGTTTAAGCAGATTGTAAAGGAAAACCGGCAAGAGAAACAGTTTTCGAGGAGTTTAGCAGGCAGTCCGAAAACTTTGCATTGTTCTTCAAGTTGGTCAACTTCAGCAACACAACAAAGGCGGGCTCTCGAGACCTTAGGACGGCCTCTTAGAACTTTTTAAACGAATTTTTACATCAGGTCATTGAACTGGTTTTTCGGGTTCCTCTCTTTCAGATCGATATACAGCCTCCGGAACGGGAGACCGTATTCTCCGAGGAATTCCGACCTTCTGATCCGCGAAATGTGGGTCCTTGTGGGGGATTCAGTGCCCAATATGCCTGCATGTGCGATTTCCACGGCGTTCCGTATCGCGAGGAGGTGGCCTGGGATGTGGACACCATCTATCTGTCACACGACACGCGAGTCCTGAACCTGCGCGACTTTGACCACCTGGAACCAAAGTGAGTTTGTCATTAAAAATGCATAAATAATTAAAATCTAATTTTATTGTTTATTTATTTCAGAGACTTGATGGCCATCGTTTCGGCTCTGGAGTACAATACGTTTTTTCGTGGGTTGAAGGCAGCCCACATGCGGTTGTCCCACGAGACCCTGGAACGCATCCTGCACGTCCTTAAGCGTTCGATGTGGCTGGAAGAGCTGCATTTGGAAGCATTGGGCTTAAGGTGGGCATAGGAATAGATTCTAGTAGGGCTGCCAAATATTCTAATTAATCTTATCTTCTTTGCAGATGGGATTTCCTGAACAAGTTATCGATATCTGTGATAACGAATAGCAATCCCGCCATTCGCACCATCGATCTGAGCCACAATATAATTGAGGATAAAGGTGCGTACTCAAGTCCCTGGATGCCAATCAACCGCCCTGCCCCCGGTGACAACGCTGCCCCCAAACAGACATCGAGTTGTAATCGAGACCCGCCTCGTGTAATCCAATTAATCCAATTCTTGTCTACCTCTCTGCTATCGTTTCTCTTCCCACCGTCTCCGTGTTTTGTCATTTGTCGGTTTGCCATTTTGATTTGTGATTTGTGTAGGAGCAAGTTCATTGTGCGCCCTATTTGGAAAGATTGTACAAGGTTTGCAGCCACCAATAGACACCATAGCACCATAGCACCACAGCCATCTAAACCAATCTGAGACATTGCATTTTTGTTGTGTTACTGCTACTTTGCTGTTACTGTTCTTGTTATTTTCTCTAAGTTTGCAACATAATTTGCCGACATGTGTGGCCATTGTTAAGCCTCCAAATTGATTTTGTTCCCATGGATCTCGAGTCCATTCCTCTCGTCGTCAACGATTGCCACACAAGTCAAAACTAATTCGACAAGGTTCTACCTTACTTTTTCTTACTCTCGTCATCAGTCATTCTGCTCTATGTTAACAAAATTCAACTTTTAGAAAAACATATCTTTATGTATTCGAATTGGCTATAAAGATCATGCTTTTCATTCATCTTACAGTCGTTGTATTTGGGTTGTACAAGAGTTTATGAGTTTCCTGCTTGACTAATAATGTATCATATTTTTGTGGATCAGGTGCCATTCATCTGGCCGGGCCCATTGCCAAGGTGTCCAAGGGCCTATGCAAACTGGCCTTGGCCCACTGCGGACTTACTTCGAAGGGAGTCAACCAGATGTCGCACTCGCTGACACTCAATCAAAGTATTTCTAATTCGCTCACGTATCTAGACCTAAGTGGTAATAGTCTCAAAGATGATATAACCGTAAGTATTTTGAATCTGATCTTATATAATGTGTTTAACATATATATTTTCTCTGCAGAATCTGCACAACTTCCTGGCGCAACCCAACGTGCTGGAGCACTTGGACCTGGCCTCGACTGACATCACGCTGGAAAATGTGAGATAATCTAAGATCTTATCAAGTTCAAGGGTTCATCTTTGGATAACTTGTTTTGCAGTTATTTGGAGCTCTGTTGCGCGGCTGTGCCACGCATTTGGCCCACCTGAACGTCTCGCACAACTCGTTCAGCACCAAAAAGGGCAAAGAGATACCGCCTTCGTTTAAGCAGTTCTTCACCAGCACCTTCAGTTTGAAGCACCTTAACATCGCCGGTTGTAAGCTGCCAATGGAGGCACTTAAGAACTTGTTGCTTGGCCTTGCTTGCAACGAGTCAACAGCTGGACTTTACCTGGATCTCAGTAGCAATACTCTAGGCGCCCAAGGAGCCCATGTGCTGGAGTCCTGCATTCACGGAGTGCGAGTGCTGCAAAGCCTGGATATTAGCGATAACAGTAAGTCGAGCGCAATTTAATTAAGTGTTGATTAAAAAGCATTTCATTTTATTTCGAAGATCTCGATGCTGAGTTGGCACCCGTGCTAACGGCCATTTCGAAGAACCCCTCGATCCGGACGCTGCACATGACCCGCAGTCTCACAGGCATGAAGCCAAAGCACATTCCGACAGTAATGGACGCGCTGGTCAACCTTATCCAGAAGGACGACTTTCCGTTGGCCGAACTGGTACTTTCTGAGAACAAACTTAAGCACGACCTGCACGACTTCATCAACGCACTGGGCAGCAACCAAAGTCTTCAGAAATTGGACATCAGTGGAAACTTCATGGGTGATGTGGGGGCACGTCTTCTGGCCAAAGCTCTGCAAATCAATAACCGGCTGCGCACCATTTACATGGACAAAAACGGAGTAACGCTGCAGGGCTATGCAGACATCGTCTACGCTCTTGAGCATAACCACAGCATGCGCACCATTCCCTTCCCCATCTTCGATATAGCTCCACATCTAAAGAGTCATCCCGAAAAGACAGATGCGGTAATGCGGAAGATGCAGGAGCTCCTGCAGCGCAATTGCAACGGGTTAAAGCGGGCGACTGGCCAAGGATTTCGGCTGCAGCACGGATTCATGCTTTCTTCCACGCACCAGCTGGTGGATAAGTTAGTGGCCGAGACACAGGACACCATTTCTATGGCTAAGGGAGGCAGTGATTCCGCTTCGGCGGTGCAGCGATTGATAACCGACGCGGAAAACTGCAAGCAACTGATGCCCAAGCTGCAGGAGGCCGTTCGCAACGAAAGCCATCCCATCGAGATGAAGCTGACCCGAGTGGCCAGTGAACTGAGCTATACAATCAAGAGTTATCTGGAGGAGACACTGGAGACTATGATGCGCACTGGAATCGAGCAGTGTCCCAAGACCTTGGGCAACCAGATTGTAGTTCAGGACCTCCGCAAAGGACTCGCCGAGCGTCTGGTGGTGCCTGAGGAATTTCTGCAGATCTGTTTACTCAACAACGCCGGCAGCGAGATCATGAACAAAGTTTGGTGAGTTTCATCAAAGTTAATGAATAAATTTAAGAGAGTAGTTAATAGGGGGAATATTGCAGAGAAATGTAAAAGGTTTATTTAAATGAGCGATACAGCTATTAAAAGCTTTTACCCCAAAAGAAACTAAAAGTGAGAGGAGAGAAAGCCATTATAAGACCCGTTCGATGAGAGTTTTGTCGCAGCGATTAGAAAAATGCAAAAAGTATAAACATAATGAGCTTAGAGAAGATAAAGAAAAGTTAGATTACAAATATTTATAGCTCTTAACTGAATTTCGATAATGGAGGTTTAGGAATATGTGGTAATAGGAAATGTTTATAGAGTTGGCAAAACGATGTTAAAACAAAACAAAGTAGACACACGAACACATTATGAGTAAGACTCCTAGGTATTCCCAACACATCTCTGTTATTTTTCTGGTAATTCGCAGTAAAATTCGCACATCGCCATGAATGAAAGGCATGGAAAGAGAACCGAAAGCAAACACTAGATTTCTGGGTTATTTATGATCTCTCTGTTTCCAAAACGAGCTTCATGTGATGCTCTCTTTGCGCTCTTTTCGCTCCGCTGGGCGTTTAAAAAGTCTGTTTATTTAGGTATTCATATATACACATGGGCGAGAGAGCTAACGCTTAGATAAGATTAAAAACAACAGACCGAAAACCAGAAACAGCTGAATGCATTTCCACTGTGGCCGGGATTTCGAAGCCAAGCACGTCTATTACGGGTTACGCCAAAAATAGGTTTATCTGTGGCTATTGGTTGGGAACAGCTCACATCCCTTCAGTTCGATTCCAGCTGTTGGGGGAAAAGTCTCTCGAGGAAATGGGTTTTATGAGCACTTTGTGTTGCTGTTTTAGTGGCAAGAAGTCCAAGTCGTCTGGCACAAGTCCAGCTTATAGAGAGTGTCCCGATGAGGAGCCTTTGGAGGAGTTAGTCATAGAAGCGAAAAGAGAAGATCATGCTAATAAAAAGTATATTTTTAATTTTTGGGTTTTTGTTTACTATTCTAAATCTTCTCTCTTCCCTTAGTGAGATTGAACAATCTCTGGCCGCAGCCATCTCGGATCGTGCCACAGATGAGGTGCTGGAGGCCTTGACCCGCTACCGCCGAGGTATGGGCATCGCGGAGTCGCCATCGGTGCTGCTGGACGAACCGCAGACGCCGGACATCGTGCGCAGTCGCTCCAGTCATGTAAGTTCCGTATTCGATATGGGTTTCGATCGGATCTATCGAGTGGGTAGCTCTTATCAGCCCCAGCTAATGACAAGTGTGATGTCATGGCCCTAAGCCTCTTGGCTGGGTTCACTTTCGCTGCGACCCACAAAAGTGAGGCAGTTGTTGTTTTGATCGGCGGTGCTACTTCTTTGGCTCTGCTTATCAGCACCTTCGATTACAAATATTTCACCCACTTTGGGGAGTTGCCGAATCGAACAACTATTTAGAGTGGACCTAGACACTAAAGAACACGTCGTTTCCCTTTTCTGTTTTAGGATGCGGATGGTTTGATCATACGACCAGGTGGAAGAGGCTCGATATTGCCCAAACAGGGCTTGGAATCGCCCACTGTAAGTGTTGAAAACCTCTCGCTACCCAAGTGGATGCAATAAAGTCCTCCGAAATCAGCCAAATAAAACGAATTAGTCCATAATCACATCATATGTTAAAGAGTATATGCGAACAGTAGAGTGCCAAGTGCCGAAAAGATATATCAGTCATATACCGTACACCCCACATATATCCAAATACACGCAACCACATACATACATATATGCTTAGTATATTCATGTGTAAAACAGAGTACTTATATCATATCCAACTAGCTGGATGTAGTTGACACATGCAAAATTTAAGAGCCCCCACATGCATCACATTATACTTCCCAACATACACACATCGAATCTCATTAATAAATTACTTAAATGTGTACACCAAATGCTCATGCTCATTATTTTTCTCGTGTCTTCCTGCCCCGATCTGATCATCATTCATCATCACCATCAACCAAAACCGAAAACGAACCAAAATCAATTGTACAAAATCGCAAATACTCGTATTCGTACTCGTACTCGTTCTCTATACATACTATAATTAAACCTTGTCTCCAACTCATTTACATAATTGCATTTCAAAATCCAAACAAACACAAAAAGAAATTGGAATATCTCAACCTTGTAAGTAGTTTTTGTCTTGTTCTTATGTCTATCTATCAGTCTATAACATCTTTTCCAAGGCAATCGTTAAGAATTTGGAAAGATGTTCGGAATATCTTCCTTATTTCTTTGCAAGTTTTTAAACCTGTTTTGGGAAAGACAATTCAAAAATCTTTTCTTCAATCCTATCCCTTTGTAGACTGCTCGTTTCTGTAGACGTTCTATCTCTGTGACTGTTTTGATTTGTAGTTTTTTTTTTTTATATCCCGCAAAAAACCAAAAACAATCTTCATTATTTCACACACTAAATGAAGCCTCATAAGCATCACATAACCAATCCATACCAAACCCATCCTAATGCTGTTCTTAACCATCCAACAGGCTACCCCGCATTTGCCCACCAAGCGACGCAGTTTGGCCAAGAAGGTGCGTCCCCAGTCAGTGGTGGAGAATCTCAGCCTTGGTCACTTCCCTGACCTTTTAGAGTCGCCCTCCTCGCATCGCTCCAATTCCCAGTTGTCTGCCCGTGCAGCTGCAGGTGCAGCTGCTTTAGCGGGAGCCGCCAACATGACCGATAGTATCTCGGCCATGGACGACGGGGGAGTGGATGAGTGCTGCGACTCCATCACGGAGTTGCCAAGCGCCTCTTTCCAGCTGCAGCACCTGGTTAAAGGTCGGCCAAAGCGAGCCAAGACGCGTGCACCCACGCGTCCTTTAGTCAGTACTGAGTGTGCCGGGGGCAACAGAGAGATCGGCGAAGGTCTGGAGCACTTTTTTCGGCCCGGGTCAGTAACTCCAACCACTCTGACTCCGCTGGTTTCGCCCACATCGGAGGAATGCAGCTCGTTGTCTTTTGTTGACAGCCCTACAATGAGCCGTGATGGCAATGGACACATGACCTCCGAGGAAACCACACCGATTCTGGAGGAGCGCCGGCCAATCAAATTGGAGCGCCAGTCACCTTTGCTAAAGAGTAAGTGCAACATAACTAAAGAATATGGACATCAGGTCTAAATGTTGTTTTATACCATCTCAATCTTAGGTGCATCGTGGGCTACCCGATCACGCTCCACGGACAATCTGGAAAAGTATTCACCTTTGGTGGGACGCAAATCGCCACTGGTCAAGATGCGAACAGAAGGAGGACCTGGTTCGGGTACTACTGGTGGCGCTGATGAGCCGGTCATGCCCAGCACTAATTTTCTGAAAGTTACCGCCCGGGAGGATAAAACACGTTCTCCCAGCAGCGATTCAATCAAGAATCATGCCACTGGCGACGGTAGCGTGATTGTGAAGACGGGCAATGGCATCTTGCGAACGCCCATTATCCTGCAGAAGCCGCGACCATGGTCGGTGGTAGGTAGCGAGCCAAAGGCAAGCGGAGAGCTCATTACTGGCAATGGTAACGAATCCAGCAAGACCACGCCTGACAAACTGGAAGAAGGTAGTTGGATTTAATAGGCTACATTAAAGGCCAAGAAATAAGAATAATGTTATTTTAGATGACGTTGAGATAGTGACCTTTGGTACGAGCTGCGGTGGAATAGCTTTATCAGCCGGTGGCGGTGGCAGCATTGTTACACCAGGTAAGTCACCTTAAAGTTGACTGAGAACATTATAATTCATTGAAAATAAACTTTCTTTGAGGAGGTGCCCTAGAAAAGAAGTCTGTGCGAGAACTAGCTGCGGGACTTAATAGAAAGGGTAAGTTGAAGCATTAGCATGAGATAAAGAAGTTTATTGAAAATGCCTGCCCGTACTTAAGTTTGCTTTTAGCAGTAGTGATGCAACTAGTTTTGATTTTATTTTTATGTATTTTGTTTATTTTCATATTTTGATTGATTTGTTGTGCTCGTTAATTGTAAAGAACTCCCCTTAAAACCGGCCGTTATGCCCAGAACCCTGCTGAACACAGCAAGTTCCCGCACGACCACCTCATCCACGGGGTCCGCCTCCAATGGTGGTCCGGTTACCTCATCCACGACCTCTAACACATCGACAACAGTATTAAACCAGAGCCAGACGCGAACGAGAATCATGAGCTCGACGAGCAGCACTAGCAGCACAGAGACCGTCACAGAGCACAGCAGCATGAGCAGCTCGTCCAGCAGCCACGAGAAACAACATGCCAAGGCATGTGCGAGTCTGATCAGCAATGAGATCCTAAGCATGCGTAATGGCCAATTGGGAAGCAAATCTGGAAGTTGTGCAGAAAGCGGTGGTGTGAAGCGGATAGCTGGCAAGGAGATCTCAACGCTATTCGAGGTTTGAACTCTGAGACTGGAGCTGCTTTGGGATAGCTTACATGGATCACCTTTCAAAATTTGGTGGCCTCGTTGATTCATTGATTTCGGTGCTCATACTGTGCGTCTAACATCCGCATTTGTTGCTTAGTGTGTAGTCGTTAAGTTCTGTCCACTAGCCAGTAAGCCGCATGTTGCCTATACTTCATTTTGTTTGTGTTTGCCTGTTGAGACCCTGTTTAAACAAACTGATAATAATGGTAACACTTTACAACTTCCCCACAGGAGACATTAGTTGAAGAACTGCAGCAGAGCATGGCGACCAGACGCATGTTTAAAGACTCGCCCTACACCAAGGAGGATGTCGTTGATTTATAAGTGTTCTAGTTATATGCTCAACATTCCCTCACATCGGCCCCTAGTCCTCCACCCAACCTGCCACAGTTTAGCGTGATCGATCGTAGGGGTGATGATTAAGTGATTAAGTGATGATGATGGAGACAGATGGATAGATGGAAACGAGGTTGCAACTTATTCGTACTGAACCATTAATTTATGTGCAATGGCGCGTGTGTGTTGTTTTTATTTGGCAATTTAGAATGAACGTGATTTATTTATTGATATATATACCCTGATACTTTTATCCAAATTAACCTTTGCATATTTTTAAAGATGTTTTGTGTACTATATTTTATATTTTTATGTATTTTAAATGAGTTAAGTGCCAATTATATACAGAATTAACCTAAATCTATTTTTAGCGCGTGCTATATAAAAATTTCAATGAAACTAACGAAGATAACGCAATGAATATGATACACTATACATATTATGTAATACAATTGCGTGCATAAGAACTATTTTAATGGCCTAAACCTAAACAAATCTAAATGAAATATAATATTTTTTATAACTGCTTCCAAATACAAATTTTATCGTTTATTATTTACCCGTTTTTATTTAACCTACCTATACACATACTTATAGTATTCAAGCGACAATCCGTTTTCAACTTTTAAAGCGCATTATGCCGCCAGAAACGAATGCATTTATTTAAAAACGATACGGAGACCGATGATCTTATTGATTATTTTCTAAAAAGTTAACAATTTACGCTAAGAAAAAAACTAGGCGAGAAAAAAACGATATCAAATTACTGAATGCATTTAAACGACAGAAAACCGAAAACTAATTACTCTAATCGATCAATTTCAATTTTGAAGATCTAGTAGTTTGCACCGACGAAACAGGAAATTTTAAGAGAAGCGTTTAAAGCAGTCCACCACCGACCACACACTTCGAGTTTTGAGTGTTACACGTTTCCCATTCAAATTCAAAAACCCAAAACGAATTACAAAAAACTTAACGTGTTCATTAAAGTTAAGCAATTAAAAACTTCATTGTAATCTATTGAAATTCAAATTAAACGGAAACCGATAATGGATTTGCGTCTTTTATTTTCGGTTTTCGTTGGGTTGAAGGGATACTATGGGCAGCACTGCACCGGTGAGGGAGGAAATGTTTCCTGTTTAACTTCTCAGGGGTACAAAGTATTGATTGACCATAGTATTTTCTGCAGTATACCCGATGGCAAACCTACAAAGCCCCTTTCGAAAAATACCGAAATACTTAAAATGAAATCCCACTACTAAAACATATCGATGCCGGTAGTTATTGTTATCGGAAAAACGTGCATCCCCAACTCGCGTCGGCGGCGAATTGTTTTTTCTGCATTTCGGAAAAATAAGAAAATATATTAAGATAAGCAAGGTCCCGTCAGAACGCTAGAATACAGCCACTGCCAAAATGGTAAAACTTACGCCAGAGCTGATTAACCAATCGATGCAATACATAAATCCGTGCCGGGAACGCGAGCTAGATTTGCGCGGCTACAAGATTCCACAGATCGAGAACTTGGGCGCCACCTTGGACCAGTTCGACACCATTGATCTGTCGGACAACGATCTCCGAAAGCTGGACAACATGCCGCATCTTCCGCGCCTTAAGTGCCTCCTACTGAATAACAACCGCATCCTGCGCATTAGCGAGGGATTGGAGGAGACGGTGCCGAATTTGGCTTCCATCATCCTTACCGGTAACAACCTGCAGGAGCTTAGTGACCTAGAGCCGCTGTCTGGATTCACCAAGCTGGACACAATATGCCTCCTCATCAATCCGGTGTCCACGAAGCCCAACTACCGCGAGTACATGGCCTACAAGTTCCCGCAGCTCCGTCTTCTCGACTTCCGGAAGATCAAGCAAAAGGACCGCCAGGCGGCGCAAGAATTCTTCCGCACTAAGCAGGGCAAGGAAATGCTGAAGGAGGTTAGTCGAAAATCTAAAATGAGCGCCGCAGCCGCGCTGGCCGCGGAAGCGGGGAATGGCAAAGGAAGGGGATCGGATGGCGGACGACTGGCCAATCCGGAAGACATGCAGCGCATCCGCGAGGCCATAAAGCGAGCCAGCTCGCTGGCGGAAGTGGAGCGGCTATCTCAGATCCTGCAGAGCGGTCAGCTACCGGAGAAGTTTCAGCACGAGCAGGAGACGCCGCAAAATGGTGCGGGGCACAATGGCTCTGGAGCCGTGCCCATGGACTATTAGGATCAGTATCCTCCGCTCAGCTGTCAGCTACCTTATAACTGTAGACCAATATTTTGTAATAAAACGCCGCCACAAGTTGATTCATCGCATTCTGCATTTTGGACATACACAAATATATATAGTATCTTTTGTTCTCAACTAGGGCCGCTGGCCGGATGATCTTTCACGGAAAGAACTGGGACAACTGGCCACCGTAGAAATGCATTTACATGAACGTAATTGGCTAAAAGTTTAACAATCTTGAGTACGAAGGGGACAAAAACAGGAGGAGCGGATGGCTTGTTTGGAAAGAGTGGGTATGGGGATCTGGCTCCTGAAATCTGATATTGCTGGGACGTGCTATTAGGATCCTTTCGCCGCCATTATCGTGTCGTAGTGTAGGCCCGTGTAGAAGATGATCCACGTGACCAGGAATCCGGCAAACGAAGTCATAAATCCCTCCTTGACCAGCTCCCAAACACCGCCGTAAGCGTCCTCGTCAACGTTCTGAAAGTTTATGGCGTACAGATATACGATCCCGCAGCTAATACCCGCGAATCTGGGAAAGCACATCAAATGAAATGACTGGCTATTTATAGGTTATAGGTGGCTACTTACAGTACAAGGCCCAGGAAGCCCTTCAGAGGCACTATGCCCCAGATGACGCCTAGGAATATACCAAACACCTGCCGCGACCAGTAGATTACGTCCAGGAACTCCTCCTGTGGGGAGTTTAGGAATTAGCATGCGGGCTTTATGACCGGGAACTCTACTCACCTTGTCCTCCCACTCCGATTTTGTGATGGCGCGCGCGCAAATTTCCCGTAACGTGGACGATTTGGCTGAATGGCCGTTGCGTTCAATCGTACTCGTTTTCGTTGTCATTATTTGGTTCAGTTTTGACCCAATTCACTTTAAATTAATTTGTTAATTAATTTTTTCACTATCAAATGACTAACGCGTTTACGCTGAAAATCCCAAGCGCATTTAATGTCGATACCAAAAAAATACCACGTAGTGTTGTTAAGTCTACTTCTTTCTAGGTGACAACCCTCTCGTCAGCTGTTTGGTTATGTGAATTCACTTATTTTCTTCTTTTTGCTGAATAATTTGAATAAATAATGCTACACATAACAAAATTCTGCCTGGCTACATCAGCCTCAATCACAGGTGAGTGCGTTGCATTGCTGTAAACATAGTGTTATTCAATAAATTTTGTATTAACGCAGCACAACGAGGTATTGCACTTACAACCACCCGCTCCATCGATCAAAAGTGGCGTGCAGGTAAGGGACTTCCGGAAAATCCGAATTCCTTTGGCCCACTCACCAATTTGCCTGACTTTACATACCTTGATGGCAGACCCACACCTTTAGGAGTAAGTACTCCCTCAGAAACCATTTAAAAATCATCCTAATAATCCTCGTTTCATAGGCCAACCAAAAGAGACGCTTGCTGAAGCAACAAGAGATCGCCTCTAGGATCGTGGAGCTAAGTGGGGAACTGGACTTTGCCAAGCAGCGCCATGAACGCCTTAAGGTGGCTGCCGAATCGGAGAAACAGCGTCTCATCCAAAACAAACTGAAGCCCAAGGGCCACCTGCTGCTCAAGCAGAAGAAGTAGCTCCTAATCTTAGCTTGTATAAGTAATCTTAAGTCGCTTAGTGAATGGAGATAAAATTATACGATGATCTTGTGACGTGAACACATTTTTACCCAAAACACGTTTTAAAAACGTTCCTCAAATAGCAAGCGTGGCACAGTCGTCAGTTCATTAGAAGTACCGCTAATATGAATTTAATTGCAACTGTCCGACACACCTGCCGCATCTTAATTGAGTGTTAAAACGCCAATGACGCACTTGTCAAAGTAGCGTGTCCTGGCATTTAGACGGGATGAAAGCATAGCTTTTCCGAGCAGTCTAAGATAGGCCTTGAGGCGGGAGTGGGCTCCCATTCACACATTAGCTGCTAATAGAAGGCTTACGCTCGCACATTCGAGTCTCTCCTCAAACTATATTTGTAAACAAGGAAGTCGGTGTATTTTTGTTTATCTGTAAGCGATTGTCCAAGGCCAGTTACAGGCTGGATCTCTTCCGGCCTGCGCAATATGGTCCAGATTCCAGTGAAGCAACCTGGAGAGATTTACAGATCGATCGTGCCGGCTAAACCCACCAACCATGACAAATGTGATCCCAAGTGTTTGCCTTTATCAGTAAATATGTACAATCGTTTACCAGCTAAATATTTACACACCTTGCCAGTGGGGCTCCCTTGTTTTTCCCGAGTGTTTGATTTTTCGGTTAGGATATCAAGAATTTTGCGCGGCCGGCAAATGTTTGTCTTCGATTTGGTTGATCGTTTACCTATAAAACAAACAGTAGGGTTAGTAAAACATACAGAAACGTGCTCTATTTAGGCATGTTTTCAAAGAGCCCGGTTGAACTGATTTATTGGCTTAAAATTAGAGAAAAGTGTTGCTAGTTATGGCTTCAAACTAACACTTAAGGTGTATATTAGGATTGAAAAACATTCAACTGAGAGCTTAGCTTCACACTTCCCGAAAAACATCAACAAATCTGATGATCCATTGATCCCCTAGGTGGCAGACATAAAAATTTCCATAACTCTTTGTTACTGCCAACTCACACCAGGCCAAATTTGGTAAAAGTAGCAATTAAATAAACGAATAATGTGCCACTGTAAATACTCAAATATTGCAGGGTGCAAATTTAGCTATTTACATTCGCACATCCAGCTAACAAAGAAATCAAGTCTGAGGAAATTTTCTAAGCAGATGATAGTCACTTGGAGACAGCTTGGAGTGCAGAATGTTTGTCGCACTTCTTGCAGAAATTAGCCAAGGGGTATGAAATTTGGCACCGTCTTGCAGGTATCGTGCCCGGCGAGGGTGTGACAAAATAAAAAAAAGAAAAACGTGCTTCCTCCAGAGCTCTCAATCAAAAGGCAATGCGCTGCGCTTGACTCAAATGCAGCCAATCGTGCGTATACGTAATGCGATCTGATTCCGTTTGGATTGTTTATGTTTCCTTTATCACCGCAAAATCTCGCACCTTTCTGTTGTTGTTGACGATGTTTTGGGTGTGCAAAAATATTTACCTCCAGTTGGGTGGCATGGAAAAGGTGGAATTGTGGAAAACAACTGAACTTCATTATTGCCCCCGGCATCCCACAGGGATTTATATTTATATAATTGTATAAATTGATATATAATTAGCGCGTTTATATTTATGCCCGAAACTTTTCGAAACAGTCGGTGATAATAAAGTGCGAATTAGTCTGGATCCCCAAGCGTGGGTCTGTTCCTCAACTTTGTCGGTCTAACAATAGGTTACAGAAGTCTAGATGATCTCTGATTCATATTTTCTTTGAATGCAGGCCCCGAAATCCGAAGTCATGCCCCTTTTTGGAGCCTGATTCAAAGCGCAGACCGCAGCCGGGTCGAGTTTGTTTGTTAATTGTTTGATGACTCCCGAAAGGCGTTCATGTTTTTCTAGAAAATTGCGGTATTTAACACTTCCTGAGTCAGCCGGCCACATTTTCACGAAATATTGATTAACCGCCGCATGAACCATTGCGGTTGGATATTTTTAAAGTCTGAGCCGTATTTTTAGACTATTTATTATTTGCGTATCTATGCTGATTTTTAATAAAAACCCGAATTTCATTACAACGACATTCGAGGTCTGGATTTAGACTTAGCGTGTGACCACACAAAAATTACCACCCGGCGATCACAGCGCCTGGTACCCATATTACTCATACGTCGAGTGCGCCACTAACCTTTCCAACCGAAAGCTGAAGCCCGAAAGCCCCTAATTACTTTCGTCCGTTCACTGCCCAACGTCAGAGCGCCAAAAAGAGCTAAATTAATAAATATAATTGATCGGAATCAAAACAAAATAGTCGCAGACAATGGGAGAATGGGAATTCTGGGCGACCGTATCTTTCCGCATTGTAAAAACTTTTCCAAACCAAACTGGATCCACGCTAACCGAAACGGTGCACCCGGCAATTAGAGCCTTTTGTCCCAACGAATCCCATAGAGATGAGACCATGTCCAAGTCACAGCATCCGCGCATGCGCAAAACAAAAGCCAGACGACAACCAAAGAGAGTTTGGCTACGTCGAAAATGTCGCTGCGTTTCCTCTGGACTTGCGTCACAATCGGAGTTATCGGCTCAGCCCGAAAGCAAAATTTCACATTTGGGTGCGAATATTACGGCCGGTGCGTATATAAGGGAAGAGTTCTCCACAGCAAAGCACACAGAACTCATCAGACGTTCACAGCAATCAGAGCAACCAAACAAAAACCAAAGGATAACACCCAACTGCCTTCTAAGGAGTATAACCAGTTTTAAACTTAAAAGAACAATATGGATCTTAAGGTAAGCATATCTATAGAGAGATCTCCGATAGAATCTAGCTCACCCAGCTCTTCGCTTCTTAGCAATTGTACTCGTGGGTCTGCCTGCTGATCAGCATCATCATCTGCAAAGTGTCCGAAGCCAAGCCCACCTATTATGACCTGGATAGCTACGAGACTTACGATACCGATCGCTACGACACAGACAGTGGCTCTTCGTATGCTCTGACCTATGGGAAGCCCCTAACGGATAATCGCCTCAAGAAGCTGAACCCGGGCTACTACTATGTCGACGATGGATACATCGCCCCGGTGGCCGGTAGCGTCGGCTACACCCGCCGTGAAGATGGTAATTCAGAAAGCGGTGCCCTGCCCCACAATGTGAAGTTCAGTCCCATTGTACGAGTGCGTCAGACCAAGACCAAGCGCAAGAAGCTGTTCGTGCCCAACTTCTTCGGCTAGAGGAGCTCTATCTGGTCCTCCTGCCGGGACTGAGAGTACAGACTGAGGATGATTAGAGTAGACTTAGTTGTAGGATTAGTCGCGTGGCTCCCACACCAAAAAGTACCTTATACTTATACTGTTATCTATTTTAGTCGCGGCCAAATTTATGACCAAATTATATTTATATATAGCAAAACATACTAAATAAATATACCCAAATTGAAGAATAATATATTAACATAATAATTAGTTTGCGTTTACAACCGGAGAGTCTGACCACACGAATGGGAATCGTGAAATTAAAATTTAAAAAATTATTTTTAGAAAACAATGGCGGCACCAAGGCAGGTTGTAATTTGCCAGTTAAAAACTGAAAAAAAGTCAATCATGCCATAATTTATTCGGTTACCAAAATAGGTTGTGGAAAAATTCAATAAATGTTTAAGTGGTTAAATTTTATAAAATACAGATTTATCGCAGTTAACGTTTTTGCTGATAACGTGTCCCCACTTTTAATTAAATATGCCGTAAAGAATTTTATGAACCGTAAAACGTATATTTAATTTGGCGATTTGGTGCTAATTGACCACTTAGGCGATTTAATAAAACCATAATGGCATTTATTATTATTTATACTTAATGTACAGTAAACTTTTCTCGATGATGTGATCATTTAAAATAAAAAATGTGTTAGGCAAAAACATATTTGTCTACCCTAGCGCCCTTGGAAAGATAATTTTTTTCTTATTGTCATGTAAATTTGAAAAATATCGTTGGAACATAATACTAAACTGACAAAATAGAAAAAAGTAAAGTTACCCCCTGTAATAAATAACTTTAGTTCTAGAAATTATTTAATAGATTTTAAATATTGAACAACATTATGTCTAGTTGTCATAAACTTCTTTTTCACATTATAAAGTTCTGGTTTGTCAATAACTACGAAATATGAATGTCTCTTAATGTTTTTAAAAATGATTTGTAATTACCGCCAATTGACCAGTGCTGCCCATCGATAATAGTGCTACATAGATATCAGCACTGAAATCATCGCTCTATCGATATAACAGCTGTCGTCATTTGTGGAACAAGAGAGATTTGCAAATTTACAAGTAGCCAGGAGAAAATTAGCGTCGTCCAAGATGAGCTTCATGCAACCGAGTCCCGTTAAGTACGTGTGCTCCTGTGGCATTCTGAACCCGATCAACAAGCTCTTCTTTTGTCGCCACTGCCCTAAGCTGCGCTGTGGATTCTGTGTGACTCACGAGATTGAATCGCATTTCTGCTCCAACTGCCTGGAGAACATCCCGTCCACTGAGGTAAATTGTTCGGACTTGACGTCACTGAACAATTGTATTTACTTTTTAATTTACTTTAGGCGCGTCATAAGAAGAACTGCTGCGCTAACTGCTTCGATTGTCCCTGCTGCCAGCACACCCTATCAGCCAGAGCCTCCACCGTCCCAGTGGTACGAAAGTCGGAGGAGGTAAAGGAATCGAAGGATGGTGACTCTAAGGGTGATGCAACGCCCCCTGTCCCGGCCAGCAGTAAACCCTCGGCGGTGCCCACCACCAAGAAAATGTACTATCTGTCATGCTTATCCTGCCGATGGACAACTAGAGATGTTGGTATTCCCGACCAGGGTGTGGCCACGGGTACCTGGCCGGATAACGAGTGCCTATACCAAGCGCGATTCAACGCCCTGGTCGAGTACTTTCAAGCGGTGGTACTGCAGGAAAAGCAGGAGAATCTGGAGTTTATGCGGCGCAAGGCACCCAAGCAGCATAAGTTCCCCAGCCTGACAGATCGTACTGGTTTGACCGTATCACTTATTCGCCGCCAGATTGGCTGGAATGATAAAGTTCCAAAGGCCAAGGCTGTGATCACGCCGGCGGAAGCTACGGCGGAAGTGGAGGGCCTGCCGGCGAACATTTTCACGGAACCGCTGAACCTGCGTAATGTCACGACGATCACACAGCGTCACAGCCAGCCAGCTGATCAGCCTACTGCCGTAGGAAGCCTGTATCCACAGCGGAGATCGTTGTGGATAAAGCGATCGCTGCGTTGCCGTCAGTGCGAGCACAACTTAATTAAACCGGAGTACCATCCCACGTCGATCAAGTACCGCATCCAGCTTTTCGCTAGTTGTCATGTGCCCCAGGTAGTGATGGTGCGTTGCGAGCAGCCGCTGGTGCCCGGCAAAAGCAACGCTATCCTGTTAAAGCTTACCAATCCGACAATTTACGACATGACCATTCGCCTGTTGGCTACAGCACCTCCTGAGGATCCGCAACTTGCAACAGAGGCGACTCGCGCTGTGAAGGAGGAATCGATTTCTTCCTCACCACTTTTGAAAGCTGTTGGTATAACGTTGTCCCGACAAAATTCAACACGGGAGGTTAAGCGCGACGTGATAGATGAGTCGAATGCGGAAATTGTGCCGTTGGAAAGCGAGTTTGTACTCAGCCAGCGTGATGACTCGAAGGAGTTTGATGAGTATGTCCAGCTTCCCACGGAGGAGCCGAAATTTATTGTCTGGCGCAAGGGGAATAAGGTCCTCTTACGACTGCAGTTTACCCCGGCAGAGAACCTGCCAAGTAACACGGAGGTCGTGCTGGGTTTCTTTATACAATATACGTATGTCAATACCGTAACTAACACGCCCGAAAAGAAAGAGCCAACCACACATGCGCTCCACTCCAGGGTGTTCATTACCGCGGGTGTAACTCAATAGAAGGCGAACTGAATTGGAAACTTATTTAGCCAAATGGCTTACTAATCGAACTTATCGGAAACATTAAACACGCTTTATGAAAGCTAGCAAAAAATGTATTTATTAAAAATTGCCTTCGGGAAAAAGCAAATAGTATTAAAGATAAATAAACAGCTTGTTCTAACCTTACTCGCTGCTTTAAACTTTTTTATCTTCTGGTTTATTTAAGCCCGTCCACTTCTCGGTCTCAGCCCACAGGAATTTTCCAACCTTATCGTCCAAGGCTGCAGGGGCCACATCCTTTGGCTTGCAGTCGCTGAAGTACAAGCCAGAGACACCCTTCAGTGCCGGATCCAGAGCCGCGTAAATTGAGGTCTGAGCTCCACTTTTCGGTGTCTTCAAAAGCGGCCAAATCATTGGCTTCAGGAGGTATCTGAGGTTTCAAATATTACTAACAGTCATTTTTTTTTAGTTTAGCTTAAACTTACTTGACAAAGTTGGTCTGGAAGAAGGCCCAGTTTCTTGCCAGCTCAGTGTCTACCACTCCAGGATGGAGGGCGTTGACTGTGACGCCACTTCCTTCCAAACGCTTAGCCAATTCCCGGGTGAACAGAACGTTGGCCAACTTACTTTGGCTGTAAGCTAGGCCCTCGTCATAGGACTTTTCGCTATTAAGGTCGTCTACGTTAATAGCGCCCCGTGTGTGGGCCAGACTGGAAACGACGACAATGCGACTAGGAGCCGATTTCTGTAGAATGTACCACATTGTTATCTGATATTCTTGATTATTTCTCATCTATATCCGCCATACCTTCAGCACATCAAGCAACAAGTTAGTCAGCAAAAAGTGGCCGACGTGGTTAACACCCAACTGCAATTCGTATCCATCTTTGGTTAAAGTCTTAGGACAACGCATCACACCAGCATTGTTGATCAGGACATGGAGTTTATCCTGCTCTTTCTTGAAACTAACCGGAAATTATTTAAGTTCGTAGTTGTGAAATCTCCTCTGGTTAACTCACCCGGCTACAAAATCACGGATAGAGTCCAGCGAGCTCAAATCCAGCTCTCGAGAGAATATGTTCTGGTTATTCGTCTCCTGTATGATATCCTTACGTGCCTTTTCGCATCGGTTCATATCTCTGCAAGCCATGTAGACGGTTCCTCCACGTCTGGCAATCTCCAGAGCCGTCTCCTTGCCGATTCCCGTGTTGGCACCGGTGACAATGAATACTTTTCCGGTCTCATCAGTATCCTTCGTGAACTGGCCGCCTTGCATGTACCCTCTGAAACATGATGATAAACATGAATTAGTCAAAAACAATTATCTATAAATCGGAAATCAAATCGCAAGTCATAGTATGTATATTGTCAATGTCATTGTACATTTCACAATTTCCAGAACTTTTTTTTGGGAAACTTACTTCAAGAGGTAGATACCCACGCCGATAATTGCCGGCCACAGTATTAAAGGGCTCAATAAACAATCGATGAAAATGCACATTTTGAAAAATATTACTTTTGTTTATTTTTTGGTGTTGCCGGTTCTCTGTTCACTGGTCGAATGCGAGCAAACGAGCAGCACAGCTGTTGAAATACTACTGCGTGACTACTACAAACAAATATGCGACTATATAAATATACATACATATATAATCGCTAATTCTCAGAGTATATAGTCGGAAAACCCAAATGGCAAAGAGAACGCTGAGGCTAAGAGAAAAAGCTCTTTGTTATAAGCAAGCAATTTAAATTGCTCGATCAATGCCAAAACTTATTGGTAAAGTGAAACATATTTGCATTTCAGACAAGTGTAAATACCAAAAATTGATAGTATTAGATATTACAGATCTAGGTTTACATATTTTAAAAAGACGGAAAAATTCAGAAACTTTTATTTAAAGAAAAATAATTATAGAAACAATTGAAAAAAAATAAACCGAAATGGGCTTAAATCGAATAACGAGTGGACTATCCAAATCTTTCCCGTCGACCACTGGAGGAGTGCAGCTCCTTCGTCCTTGGACACAGGGGCAACAACCTATGTTAACAAGTCATGGTCGAGATGTCTAAGCTCCATTCCGAATATTTCGAATTGACAATTATTAATAATAATTCCATATCTACCACTTCTGGTTGAAGGGAATCGTCCGTAACTCCAGTACCCTTCAAGAGGTTGGGGAAAAGCCGATTAAACAGAACACTGGCCAACATACTTTGGTTATAGGCACTGATCGTGTAATCAAAACTATTAAGGCCCTTAATATTAACAGAGTAATATGTGTCCAGCTAGAAACGTTAACGATTCGACTGGTTGTATTCCACAAAAGTAATCTAAATTATTTAGTTATCCGATTCCCTTAAAAATCTTATATATTTTGTAAATTTTGTAAAAAGTGCACATGTGGTGACCATAAATACCTTACCTTTTTCGTTACTGTCTAAACTTATCTATTTACAACAGACTATTTCGAAGAGGTGAAAGCTCGAATGTTTTGTAATAAAAAAAACTATTAACTAATTCGCTTTCTTAGTAAAGTGTTAAATAGGTCAGCGAGTTCATATTAGATCTGGTAGATAGAATGTTTAGTAATACATTGTATAATAAAACCTTACTAAACGCTACTGTTACAGGGGAAGTAGAAAACGAATTACCAACAAAGTTAACATTTTTTTCCACATATTATTTAATGTACAAAATTAGTAAAGATTGCAGTCGTTTTTATTTTAACAATTACTAAAATAATAAATAATGAAATGACGCGTAATGAATTTGCAATTTCTTAATCAACTTTAGATGTGTTCACTCCTGTCCACTTCTCGCTCTCTGCCCACAGGAACTTTCCAGTTTTTTCGTCTTTAGCAGCTGCTGAGACATCCTTGGGCTTGCAGTCGCTGAAGTACAGTCCGGAGACCTCCTTTAATTCAGGGTCCAGAGCAGCGTAAAGTGTTGTCTGCGCTCCATTCTGAGGAGTCTTGAAGAGTGTCCATTGCAGCGGCCTAACCAAGTATCTAAAATGCAAAACTAATCAATATCTTTTAAACTAATACCAAGCTGGTACTGTGCTTACTGCACAAAGCTGTTCTCCAAGAACTTCCAGTTCCTCAGCAGCTCCGTGTCCACAGCACCGGGATGCAGAGAGTTAGTGGTAACACCAGTACCTTCCAGGCGCTTGGCCAATTCCCGGGTGAACAGAACGTTAGCCAATTTGCTCTGGCTATAGGCACCAACCCTACTATACGACTTCTCACTGTTCAAATCGCTAGTATTGATGGAACCGTGAGTGTGTGCCAGGCTGGAAACGTTGACGATGCGACTGGGTGCAGTTTTCTAAAGAGTGAGTCGGGTTAATAAGAAGTTAGGCAAGTCGTTGAGCATTTAAAATACCTTCAAAACATCCAGAAGCAAGTGGGTGAGCAGGAAGTGCCCCATGTGATTGACGCCCAGCTGCATTTCGAAGCCATCCTTGGTCAGAGTTCTGGGACAGTGCATAACTCCAGCATTGTTGATCAGAACATGCAGCTTATCCTGCTCCTTCTTGAAACTGTTTTACAAAGTACATTCAGGGTTTTATGATCTAGTTATATTTTAATGTGTCATGTTTGCTTACCCAGCAGCGAATTTACGAATGGATTCCAGCGAACTCAAATCCAATTGCCGGGAGAATATGTTGGTGTTGTTTGACTCCTTGACTATTTCCTGTCGGGCCTTTTCACATCGGTTCATATCCCTGCACGCCATGTATACAGTGCCTCCACGCTTGGCGATCTCCAGGACAGTCTCCTTTCCGATTCCCGTGTTGGCACCTGTGACAATGAATACTTTGCCGGTTTCATCAGTATGCTTGGTGAACTGACCGCCCTGCATGTATTTTCTGAAATTCATTTATACGAATTTATTATTATTTTGGTTATCACACAGTTGCTGCGTATAATGACAATCCATTTGCCTATTACTCATACTAAGTACAACTAATTCGTGCCAAATTACCTCAGAAAATACGCAGCTCCGACGATGACCGCCGGCCAGAAAATTAAGGGGCACAGCAAACAATTTGTCAAACAACCCATTTTAGAAGTAATATTATATTCCTTAGGTGTTTCCAGTTGTGGGACCTCTCAACAAATGCGAGCTTAGCCGGTTCCAGCTGATGTTTAAATACAATAGGTGCTATCTATGAGAAAATACACGACAGCCGTATGAATATTGCTTACTCACGATGAGTTTATTTCGAAATTACGAGAAGAGAGCCAAATATGTTTGAGAGTAAGAGTAAATCGAAAATATTACGTATACGCTTGCACTCCGGGTGCGAATATGAATCGGCTAGCAGAGAACGAACTTGACCGAAGTCATTTTAGACAGCAAACAACTTGTTAAGCAATTAGTTTAAACGTAAATATATTTATAGCTCTTATCAATTATCGTCTGAATGTAAGAAAATCTAAACAAATTCACTGTTATTGTCAGTGCTAAATATGTGAATAAATTTAGAACGTTTTAATTTAGAACCCAATTTTTTGGTTAAATATTTTGTTTATTATTTGTAATGAAAGTTTATTAGATAAATCCTTTTAAATTTATATACATCGCTATCCTTTTTAAGCTCGGTGTCGAAGTATAAAGAAATTAAAAAAGAAGTCAAAATGTATGCGATACATATGTAGCTAAGAAAGAATAAAATAATATTGTGAAATTAAAACTAAAGCTACAATCTAACGATAGACGAATTTGATGAAGTTTCATGAAATACGTACGTAGATAAGCTGTCGTACGGGTTGGATACCGTCCATTGTGTTCAAGTTATATTTTTTTTTAAATGATTGATCATACTCATAATTAGATACATGTATGTTTTTATTAAAATAATAAGTTTAAGTAGAACATCTGATAGATTGTGTTCTTCATTCAATTTCAGTTGCAAATCAAAATTAAAACTTAGATCTCTGGATACTCCGAGACATCCTTGAACCTGTGATTAACTTTTTAAGCTTCCTATGAATACAATTGTTTTGTATGCTGAGAAGTTACTATTTATTCATCTTTCTGATTTTTCAAACATTAATCATTTATAATTTTTAGCTTAGGATTAAACAAAATTGTCCAATTGACAAATAAAATGCATTTTATATTCACACGACCAATCGTACATATGAGCGTTCATCATCCCGACGCAGTCCTCCTTTGAGTACCTGTCGTTGGGTTCTCCTGGCCACCACTTTAACAGGGATGCCCGCTTACCAGAGGCCTCAGAAATGTAGTTGCCCTCGTTGGCTAATTCATTAATGCCCAGCCAGTATCCGTTTCCTTTAATAAGTTTGTCATGGATGGCGTGCATCTCATCTATACTCGTGAATGCCGCTAAATGACCTCCTTTTTGGCGACAGCTGCTTTTGGCATCAGTCCACGTTTTCCACTCATTGTTTTCAATATAGAAAAAGCGCGATCCAACTCGCTCAAAGCCAGGTGGAATCCTACTGTCCTGGGACTGCACCATGCTGCACAGATTGCAGGCGACCAAGACGTACAAAAAATATGTTCCGAATTGAAACATTTCAAGATCTTAGACCTGTGGATGGCGAAAGTTGCTAAAGAACTGACTCTGAACACATTTGCTGACTTAAAAAGTCTCTTCAAATTTTATATTTTACTGTACATACATACTTTTCAAAGATTATATTTTTAATTGATTCGCAGAATAAAATATAAACAGCTAGCTTTGAAAAGCCCACAAATAATCCATTTTTCATGGAGATCGGAATAATAATAAAAAATATTGTTTTTCTTAGGAAATATTTTTATTTTGGTTCTCGGACTTTGCTATATGAGTGTAAAATAATAGCATTGCGTGGCCATTAATCCAATTTGGCTTTATTCAAGCCATTCCATTTTTCGTTCTTAGCCCATAGCAACGTGGCAGTTACGTCATCCGTGGCGGCCGTAGCTATTTTCTGTTTCTCCATATCAGTAAGCTAAGGGAAAAACTCGTGGGTTGGGATCAACTATATTGATTGAAAAAACATTCTAGAATCCAGGATATAGTCAACTAATTGTATAGTTAACCTTTGATTATGCCCTTGGGGTATCATCATTTTTAATAAGGATTTCTCTTGCTTTGAGCTATCTAAAAAATGGTTACTTTGTAACAATTCAATCTAATTTGCGACTAAAAATAGTTTGATTACTTGCAAACTCAAACAAACTCACTTAAAAAATGAGAAAGTTAAAGAGTTAAAAAACAAAAGATAAAAGCCCACATGTTTCAATATATGCAGGTAATACTATTTTGCAGTGCTCTTTTGTTGGCTCTAAGTTTTAGATTGTACATTTAAAATTTTATTGGCATTATTAACATTATCTTTATATCTACGAGTACCTGAATTTATTGTCATATTACTCTATAAGTAAGAAGCATATGTACATATGTGGGAAAAGTAATAAAAAGTTACGTTAACAGAAGGCACTTTTTGTTAGAATAGCTACCCGGTCAAAACATGTTTAACAAAGCCTGAAGGTGAAGATAAAAGCATCATCGAGTTTCTTAGGCATTAGCACCCGTCCACTTGACACTCTCTGCCCAAAGGAATTCGGCGTCCTCATCATACTGGGCAGCAGAGCCAGCATGTTTTGGCTTGCAATCACTGAAATATTTTCCCGAAACATTTTTCAAACTGGGATCCAGAGCTGCATATAGGGATGTCTGTGCTCCATTCCTTGCAGTCTTTATAAAAATCCATATAAAGGGAGCTATAAGTAATCTGCAAACGAATCATTAATAATTATACACTGAGTAATACCGGAGTAAAAAAAATTTAAATTTACTTTCCGAAATTCGATCCAAAGAATGGTGTATTTCGAAAGAGTTCCGTGTTCACTACTCCAGGATGTAGGGCATTCACCGTAACTCCAGTTCCCTCCAGTCGTTTTGACAACTCCCTCGTGAAAAGTATATTGGCCAACTTGCTCTGACAATAAGCTAACTTTCGATCGTAGGATTTCTCGCTATTTAGATCATCTCTATTAATTCTTCCAAACCGATGGGCTATGCTTGATAGGACCACAACTCGACTGGGGGCTGAACTCTTCAGGAGATCGAGGAGCAGAAGAGTGAGTAGAAAGTGACCCATGTGATTCACTCCTATTTGCATTTCGAAACCATCCTTCGTTAGCATTTTGGGGCAGTCCATAACGCCAGCGTTGTTGATAAGAATGTGAAGCTTATTTTCCTCTCGCTTAAATCTTTAAATATTAATTTAAATAATTATTTTATTTTATCAAAACTGCGCATATTTACTCAGCTGAAAAGTTCCTTATGGATTCCATGGAGCAAAGGTCCAGTTCGCGAGCAAAAACATTCCGATTGTTGGTAGCTTTGATGATCTCCAGGCGTGCCTTTTCGCACTTTTTCATATCGCGACAAGCCATATATATAGTGGCTCCTCTGCGGGCCAATTCCAGGACAGTCTCCTTACCAATTCCCTGGTTGCAGCCGGTCACAATCACAACTCTGCCGGTCTCATCCGTTTTCTGGGTGAACTGACCTCCTTGCATATATTGTCTGCGGGGCAAAGGTTATGAGATAATCACTGAGAAAATCACACTTAAAATCACCTGAGAAAATATATTCCAATGGCCGAAAGAGCTGACCCATATACAAGCGGACTCAGCAGGTAGTCTGTAATTGCAATCATTTTTCCGTTCCGAATGCTACCAGCTTCAAGTGTCGACTGTCAAAACGAGAGCCACTTATACTTTTCTTTATACGAGTAATATTATAAACTTGGAATGTGAATACTTGGTGCATTAACGTTCATGGACCGGTATAAAACATTATTGCAAGTTTAAGGTCGGAGGTTTACGATTTGTCAATTTCAGAGAGAAACTTATGCATACGAGACTTATTAACAGCTGTTCAAAGTTTGGCAACTAAAGTACAGAAAATCATATCGTTTAATCGTATAAAAGATCGTTTCCAATTCTCTGGGGTTTATATCCGGTACTCCCAGAGTTATATGGTATAATATACTGTATTCTTGGAAACTAATATAACAGCTTAATGAAAGGGATTCTTATTCAGCAATGCTGAACGAGTAGATCTGGCTAAAATTTCTGTAAATGTAATAAGAGCTTTGGAACATAAACATAATATTAATAATGATATGATGCTTATTCATAATCCATTTGATGCCTTAAACGAGATAATCATAAAATACATGCCAACGTCACTGTCTATTGAAGTATTTCTTCTTAATCTTTAATGAAATGAAAATAATCAATAGCCGACTTGATTTAGTTCCTGGAATTTCAGCGTTCATATGGAGCGTTGGACGGGCGGACGGACGGGCAGACGGAAATGTCTTAATAGATTTCGGTTCTAATATACCCTTTCAATCTACGAGTAATGGGTGTAATTATGGAAAAGCCTATAAGAATAGTAGAATAATAATAGTAATTTATTGAAAAATATATTCAGCTATGATCACAAAAATGTAATTCTGGAAAAATTATTGTTGAACGATCCCTTCACCTTTTGTACTTTGCAAAGAGGTTTTTTATTATTAATTTAAAGGGAACTATCCAAATTATATAATAAATATTAGTTATATAGAAGAGTATATGAACTTCGCCTTGGATAACCTACACTCTTTGCATGATTTTTGTTAAAGCCTTGCACGGCTAATTTGGGACTTATTGTTAATACGCATGATATTAACATGTCAATTCGACTCGATTAAAAGCCGTACCAACGAGCTTTCACTGCAATTACAACGAATAAGGGGTTACCAGAAATGTGGTCATTTGCACCTGGCGACATGTCGAATAAAGATGATTTTCGCCGGCATCGTAAACGTCCAATACAAAATGTACATCGATTGTTTTTTAAAGGGAGTGCATGGGCCATTTACGCAATCGCCAGCGGATTCCATTTCTTCAAGCTACATTACAACGAGCAAACCAACCAAATGGAGGAGGCTCAATACCATCGAGTATGGTCGAAGGTTGTAATTGCCATGAAGATATTTCTTCTGGCCAGCCAATATCTACTATACTTTGTACTCGGAGTGGCTATCTACATCCACATAAGGCTAGTACATGGTAGCATAGCCCAGGACTTTGTGATGAGTGTTCTTGTGCAGGGAATAGCCATTAATGTGCTACGTCGACTGGTGATCTTTCTGCATCAGAAAAGCGATCGGGGGTTTTTAAAACACACTGTTAACGAGATCCTACAAATTACCAGCGTGATCGAGCAAAAGATCGGTATTATATACAAGTGTGATCCTATATTACTGGGTGTATATTTGCTCAAACTGTGGATACTCTACATAATGCTGGATTCCCTCTGGAACAAGTCCTACTTCCTGATGCTGAACTTTCTCTACTGGGTACTGCTAGAGTACTGCTTTGCTGGATTTTTCATTTATCAATTGATCCTGCTTAGCTGGTACCACACCATTATCCTGTTCCTGAAGCGCTTCATCGAGGATAACGAGTTTCGGCAGCACATTGAGGATCGGTACCATCGACGTTTGTTTCTGCTTTTTGAGCTACACCTCCGAATAAATAATCTGCACAAATGCGTTAAGGACAATCTAAGCTGGCTGTCGACCTCTATTTACTTACTGATCTTCACTTGCATATTTAATATGGAACTGCTGATTGAGTGCAGTCTGTTTGCCGAGGACGAGTTAGAGAACAAGATCTATATCATTGCGGATGGCTGCTTGGGGCCAGTGTTCATTCCGATCCTAAATGTGCTAATACTTGGGATGTGCACTGACCGATTCCGAGATTCGGAATTACACCTGCAGCAGCTCATCGTAATCGTTCAAGGGCTGTACATGCGGAAAGTAAGACCAAGTCTTTTGACCGTAATGGTTCTTGACAACGAGGTGAGATCGTTCTTGAACTGTCTAATTTTGCTTATCAATCGACTTTCCTCAGCACACCTCTTTAATACTTCACCAAAAATTGGAACCGCTACAGAACATGATTATTTTGGATATCACCTGCGACCGTCAGTTCGCCAAGGATTATATTCTCACGGCGATCTTAACTGCATTGTCTCTTGTACAGTACACTATATCATGTGGACAACCTATTGACGAGTGTTTGACACATAAGTAGGTTCCAAAATCGCGATTAAAGGTACTAATAAAATTTGTAATGTGCTATAGCAAAGAAATATGAACGTCTTTTACCAAAAAAAAAGGCTAGGGTTGAAAGATAAATATTTTGTAACATCTACATTTAATTTACATACTTCTGGAGTGTATTTGAAATATTACCTGCATTAATTTTATTCATAAATAACAATGGCTTTTTAAGAATTAAAATGGCTTAAATTGCGACTAGCTACATAACAATACCCAATTGACCCAATTTAGAGAGAAATTTCCGTCCACTTCTCCGACACGGCCCACAGCCACTTTGCCATCTGATCGTCGAGGGCAGCGGGAGCTACAGGGGCCAAATGGCAGTCGCTGAAGTATTGACCGGAAATATTTTCGAGATCGGGGTCTAAGGCGGCATATAGTGTGGTTTGCGCCCCGTTCTTGGGTGTTTTCATTACGGACCAGAGAAGAGGTCTCAGTATTGTTCTGGAAAAGAAAACAATTAATTCATCTTATATTGAAAGGCGATTTGAAGAGGACACACTCTACCACATACTGAGCGAACTTTGTTTTGAAGAAGACCATGTTCCTGGCAATTTCCGTGTCGGCTATTCCAGGATTGAGGGCATTGACCGTAACACCCGTCCCTTCAAGCCTCTTGGCCAGTTCACGAGAAAAGAGTATATTAGCCAGTTTGCTTTGGCAGTAGGCAGCTCCCTCGTCATAGAAATCGGAGCTGTTGATATCCTCAACTTGAATCTGACCCCGCTCGTGAGCTCTGCTGGCCACTACCACTACCCGGCTAGGAGCTGACCTCTCCAACACATCGAGCAACAGGTTGGTTAGCAGAAAGTGGCCAATGTGGTTGACTCCCAGATGCATTTCGAAACCCTCTTTTGTCAGTCTGCGAGGCTCCCAAAAGACACCAGCATTGTTGATCAGGATGTGCAGCTCCCTTTGCTCTTTCTTAAAGCTTTAAAAGAATAAATTATCAGCGTTAAAGCAAGGCATTTGATTTACGCTATGACTCACTCTTGTGCAAACTTCCGAATGGAATCAAGCGAAGACAAGTCGCACTCCCGGGAGAAAACATTCGAGTTTCCGGTCTCCTTGACTATTTCCTTTCGAGCTCTTTCACCTTTTTCTTTATCTCGGCATGCCATGTAAACAGTGGCTCCTCTCCTGGCCAACTCCATCACAGTTTCCTTGCCGAGGCCCGTGTTTCCGCCAGTGACGATTGCCACTTTTCCCGTCTCGTCGGTCTGCTTTCTGAACTTTCCCCCCTGCATATACAGCCTAAATCGGGGAAAATTATGCCCGTTAATCGGTGATAACTACTTTGTCGTCACTTTAATACGCCTTTGATAACGCTACTCAGCGTTACATTTAAAATCGGCGCCCAACTTACCTCACACAAAACGCGATAATGCCGACGACTCCATGGGCCAGAAATATTGGGGCGATTTTGTGTAGAAAACTAATAATGATTTCCATACTCGCAAATCGGTCCGGCCGTTTTAGTGGTCTATTCCAGAGTGCCACCGCGGGCGAAATTCTGCGAGTTTTTAGGTGATCGCCGCAGCGATTACTGTTCGACAACTGATAAAACTGATAGTGCGGGGTTCTATGAGTAGCCTGTAATCAAGGAACCGCTACTCAACACACTTAGCATAGATAATTGCGACAAGAAGCAGAAAACCGAGTCACTTTCACGACAGCTCGAGTGATTCCTACTGGTGAAATGAACCTAAACTTTTGGACCGAAGGCTCGAGCTAAAATGTAATGGATATACATATCTATTTTAAACAAATGATGTAGAAATTGCCCCTAACCGGTTTCGGAGTACACACGTCCGTACACATTCAAATCTTGAGCTTTCAACTGTCTTTAACCAAGTTAACATAACTAAAACAAGATAAATGGGAGAATTGTTGACTGTAAAAAACGGAAAATTTATGCGTAGTAACAGAAGGGTTGTCAATAACATTTCTTTAAAATACGAACTAGTGTATTTTGATCATCGTTGGCTTGGTCCACTTTTCACTGACTGCCCAGAGCCACTTTGCCGTTTGAGTGTCCATGGCCGCCGGTGCCATTTCCTTTAGCTTACAGTCGCTAAAATATTGGCCAGTCACCTTTGACAAATCGGGTTCCAAAGCGACATACAAAGTGGTCTGAGCTCCATTTTTGGGAGTCTTAACGAAGGGCCAAAACAAAGGCTTCACGAATAGTCTGAAATTAAAAGTATTTCTTTGATATATAAGGTTAAAAACGTAATGTAAATACCCACCCAGCGAAGAAGTTATTGAAGAAGCCCATGTGCCTGATGATCTCGGTGTCCACTACTCCTGGATGCAGAGCATTCGCTGTTACTTGTGTGCCCTCCAATCGCTTGGCCAACTCCGTAGTAAATAGAACATTGGCCAATTTGCTCTGGCTGTAGGCCTTGCCTTCATCGTAGGTTTTGTCGCTGTTCAAATCTCCAGTATTAATTTCTCCGCGGGTATGTGCCAGACTGGAAACGTTCACAATACGACTGGGTGCAGATTTCTAGAGATACAAATTCTTACGAAAAGTTTGATATTTGTTAACGCTCGCCATACCTTCAGTAGATCCAATAATAAATTAGTTAGCAGGAAGTGGCCCATGTGATTTACTCCCAGTTGTAGTTCGATGCCATCTGCGGTAAGAGATCTTGGGCAGCGCATGACACCGGCATTATTGATTAGTATGTGGAGGTGATCCTGTTCCCGTTTAAAGCTGCCAATTGTGGATTATGTGATAATTCCGTTTAATAGATTACCAGACTTACGCAGCAACAAAATGGCGGATTGATTCTTGGGAAGCCAAGTCACACTGTCTGCAGTACACATATTTGTTCTTTGTTTCCAGCACTATTTCTTCACGGGCCTGATATAATAGCATTTGAATTATCTTTTAGTTAGTATTATTAATTAAGAACATACCTCTTCACATTTTTTTAAGTTTCTGCATGCCATATAGACAGTGCCCCCACGCTTCGCAATCTCCCTAGCTGTCTCCTTACCAATCCCCGTATTTGCGCCCGTCACGATGACCACCTTGCCGGTTTCATTGGTTTCTGTGGTGAACTTACCGCCTTGCATAAGGTCCCTGTAACATGGATTTTGATCAGAACTTGTGAATTCTGTGTGGAAAGTTGAACACCCACTTAATGAAAAAGGCTAATCCAGTCGTTGTACCGGTGAGGCTCAGCCAGAACGCGGTACGGCTTCTTAAAAAACCAAATAATGACATTTTAGAAAATCAAAATATATAAATTAGCTAGTAAACGAAAACAGCTGTGTTTATTCTGCTAAAGTTAACAGGGTATGATAACAGAGAGTTATCGATATTTTCGGTCATCTGTGACGGAGCTTTCCCTTTGTTGTTGTTTGTGGGCTGCTGCTAAGAACAAACTTTACACGTAAATAAAACTAATTGTCTTAATTAATTGGCTTGAGCTAAACAAAGAGGTGCGATTTAATCAAAAGCCAGGAAGGTATTCGAAATCTAGGCGACGAAACCCTTCTGAGGTAACAAGGCCACAATGCGACGCAATGCGTAAGTCAGCGCCAACTCGACTGTTGCTTTTTCAAGTGAACGGATTGTATGATCAGAGCTTTCATCTCCAGGCGCCATCAAAATCACCACCTGGAGGACGTGGATCCCGACGAAGTGGAAGATATCTTTGCCCGTCCCGCATACGATGACGATGAGTTCGAGGACCTGCTCCCACTGGCCAGAAGGCCAAATGGACACGCCCGCCTAGGGCGCTACGAGAATACACTAGAAGTGAAGGTCCAGGAGGGCGACACTCTGCAAGCGCTGGCCCTTCGTTTCCATTCCTCCGTGGCCGACATCAAGCGGCTTAATAAGATCGATCGCGAAAACGAGATACATGCACATCGGGTCATCCGCATTCCGGTTACCGTGCACAACGTCCTGCTAGGCAACGGAGGCCTTGATGCTCTGCCTGCCGTCCACCAGAGCGGGAACAATAGTCCCAGGCACAACCTTGAACGAGAACCAGCCCCCGAACGCAATCCTCTTGAAGATGCGCGTCAGATGCTGGACGAGCGGCTCCTGGTGGCTTCCGTAAACGCTTCCGGAGCCATAGATCCCGACCAGCCATCCACAAGCAGAGCGGCAAGACAGTTCTACGAGGGAGCCCAGGGTGCGCCCAATGATGAAGGTGAGTTTGGAAGCTGTTAAAGATTACCTCAGAGATTTTCGCGATTTGTTTTTGCGGTAAAAATAACAGTGTTAGTAAAGTAAGGCTAGTGCTGGGAAATATAGTTTCGAATTGGACTTTTGAACATTTTTTACCTTAAGTTTGAATTTTTATGATACAAAAAGAATTCAAAAATAAGAAAGCCTAAAATGATGTATTTATAATTCGCTAAACATTATATCAGTCGAATAATTTTAGCTCCTATATAGCTTATTATTTTTTAATACATTATATTACACAAAATGGTATTTCGAAAAGTCAGCGGTTTGTATTTTAGCATTCCAAGTTAGCAGTGCGCGTTCATCGATAGTCCAGTGTTGAAAAAACTATCGATGAGTCAATAGTGCCAACTGTGCTTCTCCCACCTCTATCTCAAATTGTTCAGTCATTCTCGCCGTAAAACAAAAGGAAAACATAGTTTAAACTCAATTTTTGACATCGAAATCATACCAATTGCAATTAAACAAGATGCCGGACTACCTGGGTGATGACCAGCGCAAGGTGAAGCACGACGAGAAGGAGGACAAGGAGATCAAGTCGTTGGACGAAGGAGATATTGAGCTGCTAAAGACCTATGGCCAGAGCCAGTACCACAAGTCCATCAAAAGCATTGAGGAGGACATCCAAAAGGCGGTCAAGCAGGTGAACGAGCTTACAGGAATCAAGGAGAGCGATACGGGCCTTGCGCCGCCCGCCCTCTGGGATTTGGCCGCAGATAAGCAAATCCTGCAAAACGAGCAGCCCCTTCAGGTTGCCCGTTGCACCAAGATCATCAATGCCGACTCTGATGACCCGAAGTACATAATAAATGTGAAGCAGTTCGCCAAGTTCGTAGTTGACCTGGCTGACTCCGTGGCACCTACCGACATCGAGGAAGGAATGCGCGTGGGAGTAGACCGTAACAAGTACCAGATCCACATTCCGCTTCCACCCAAGATCGATCCGACGGTTACCATGATGCAGGTGGAGGACAAGCCGGATGTCACATACAGCGATGTCGGCGGCTGCAAGGAGCAGATAGAGAAGCTGCGCGAGGTGGTGGAGACTCCGCTGCTGCATCCTGAGAAATTCGTCAACCTGGGCATTGAGCCGCCAAAAGGAGTTCTCCTGTTCGGCCCACCTGGAACGGGAAAGACCTTGTGTGCCCGAGCAGTAGCCAACCGCACGGACGCCTGTTTCATTCGGGTCATTGGCTCCGAGCTGGTGCAGAAATACGTAGGAGAGGGCGCTCGTATGGTACGCGAACTCTTCGAGATGGCGCGCTCCAAAAAGGCCTGTCTCATTTTCTTCGACGAAATCGACGCCATCGGAGGAGCTCGGTTTGACGACGGAGCCGGTGGCGATAACGAGGTGCAGCGCACCATGTTGGAGCTGATCAACCAGCTGGACGGTTTTGATCCTCGCGGTAACATCAAGGTGTTGATGGCCACTAACAGACCCGACACCCTGGATCCTGCGCTGATGCGTCCTGGCCGCCTGGACCGAAAGGTGGAGTTCGGCCTGCCCGATCAGGACGGTCGTTCGCACATCTTCAAGATCCACGCTCGTTCCATGTCTGTGGAGCGTGACATTCGATTTGATCTGCTGGCGCGTCTCTGTCCCAACTCGACAGGTGCTGAGATCCGATCGGTGTGCACGGAAGCGGGCATGTTTGCCATTCGGGCGCGTCGTAAGGTGGCTACCGAGAAGGACTTCCTCGAGGCCGTCAACAAGGTTATCAAGAGCTACGCCAAGTTCAGCGCCACTCCCCGTTATATGACCTACAATTAAGATTATTTTTATTGGCACCATTCTGTATCCTCTGCGAGAAAATTTGTAATACATCCTGCAGATGGCAATTCATGAAATAAAACAAAACCTATACCTCCATTACTTGAAATCAATGAGGGGTATTTTTTATATCACTACTATTTTTCAAAACGATTCTTAATTTCTTAAGTATGTTTTAACTTTAAAAATCTTAACTTTGTTCGCAGCCAATATGGAGCAACCCTTCGAGGAAAACGCTGCTCTGCTTAACCACATGATGGTGGACAGACATGCTCCGCTGGTGCGTCCCATCCCTGGTCCCTCTTTGAGTGCCATAGACTGGTCTGGATCGGATTGCGATTTGTCCTGGATCTGCCTGCTGATCTTTATACTCGCCTTGTGTGTCGTCATACCGCTGGTCTACGTCATCTACCTGGCGGAGCATCCGCATCACAATCACAGCGCCCAGTAGTTGGGCTTATGCCTCACAAGAAGGGATCATCATTCCAAATGTACAAGAAACTTATCACCTGTCACTCTTTCACTCTCCTCAAATCAGCCTGACGCATTCAAAATGCAGACCCAGGCGACGGAATTTATTTTTTATACCTAAACAAATATCTTTTTATTGACTGTTGTCAAGAAAAATAAGAATTTTGTATACTATACTTCTTCTTTAAATACCTATTTTGGTGCTTCGAAGTTGCGTAGAAATAATTATACTATGCTAAACATCACTCCTGTCAGCCAAACATAATTGCACGACCCCTAGATCCGACTGTATTGTGAATATTCGTAACCCCCGCAAGTTTTAATTCTCTAAATGTATGTTTTATTGAGTACAATTATGTAACATTTAAACTAGTACGGGTGACGTATGGGTATTATTATTCAGCTGAAATTGGGAATAGTTTCGCTTACGCCTAAAAAATACATAAAGCATATCTTAGAGCTAAATAAATAGTATCCATGGATAGAAGAATTATGTAATAGTAAATACGAACTAAAATTAACGATGGCACACATTGAGTGCCAATTAAAGTTAAGTACATCATATTGTGAATTTTCGGACTGGGGATTGGAGGCCATGGCACATGGTTTTTGGCGAAGATTTGGTTTGGATTATGGGCTGTGGGCTTCACCATTATCGTGCATTTTCCCACACCGGGAAGATAAACCAATGGCCGCACACTAACGAAACTCCATTCGCATATTCACTTGAACTTTAAATTCTCAAAGAAAGCAATATTGCTCCGAAGGAAACCATGACGAACAGGCACGGGACTCGCCGGAGAGGCTATGGGTGGAGTGTTCTCCGAATGGATAGAAGGATCGCTGAAATTAGATTAACTTTAGATTGATAGAAACTTTTCTTGATTTCTTTTAAAGAACTAACGTTTCGAGGGATGATAGGTCGGAGGCAATTGTAGATTCATCGGCTACTTCTGCCATGGAGACGGCATGCTCCAATTTGTGACGCTTAGCCAGTGACGTGTTTGGCTTATCTGGAGTGTCTGGCGGGGCTGCTATTCTTACCTATTTATGAAATATACATGTACGTTATTCCATTTGTTATATTATATCTAAACAGAGGGTCATTTTAAACTCCTCACCTTGGCGCGCCATCTCCGCTGGGGCTGTGTGTGCTTGCTGGTCAGGAGGAAGGCCTGAGCCAGAGCCTTAACAGATGGCATGGAATGAGCCACTTCGTCCTCGATGACAGGCTTCTCCGACGCAGGAGTAGTAGGTTCAGGCTGCCGAAAAAAATCGATATCCGATATTGGAATCATACAATATATTACACTTACCACATCATCTTCATCGACAGACAGCACCTGACTGGGATCAATGAGACGACGTTTGGGTTGTAGGAATCTGAAAGCGGGGGGAGTGGATCCCCTTGTGGGAGTACTAGCTGGAGAACCTATTGTGGGCGCTGAATCGCCTGGACCAAACTGAAGAACCACAGGTCGCTCCCGCTTCTTCGAAACTGATGAGTCAATAGAAGAGACTGAAGGTGTAGCACTCTGAGCGGATTCCATGGACGATGTGGTGGAGGTGCTGGGCTGCTGCTCCGCCGGAACAGCTTTGATTACCGTTGTTTCCTGCTTGTTAAAATCGTAGATGCGAACCGTATCGGATTCATCGCTGGTTGTCGTGGTCGTTGTTTGCAGGGAGTATAGCGAGGGATTCGATTGGGAATCCAGGGACTCATCCAGGATTTGAACTGGCACTGCTTTGAACACAGACTCCTGCGGCGGTTCCTGCTCTGTGGCAGGCTTGCTTGCTTTTTGAGCCTTTGATAGAACATTTGTCGGTTTGGTAGTTGGCAGTTTTTGGTGGGTTTGTGTTGTTTTGTTGGTTAGTTTAGGTGGTTAGGTTTTCGATGGAAAGAAGAAGTGTAGGTGTTTTAGTATTCAATATTAGTGTAGGCGTGGAGTTGTTCTAAAGTTTAGCAAATGTGGTGGAATTTAGTGGGTGAAAACGTTCAGGCAGCAGCATGCAGGCAGGATTATCTTAGCTACAGTCAGTCAGTAGTTACAATCGGTTGAAATGATTTCGAAACAAATGCTGTTAGTCAGATCCAAAGGCAACCCAAGCATAAATCTATCTACATATTTCGGTTAACTCTCGGCTCTGTACTCACCAATTCAATAGGTTTTTGGGATACTAAAAACATTTGTTTCAGTGGTTCAGTGTTTGTTTTCGTTGTTGATTGGTTTATTGTTTGGCTTTATTTGGAATTAATGCATTATAGATATCGCTAGGCATATGTGTATGGTTGTTCATAAGAAAGGAGCGTTAGCGGTGTGCATACAGATACGTTACAGGAATAATTATATTATTTCATAAAATTAACAGCAAATATAATGATTAAAACAAACGTTGCATACTCTAGGGCATTAGCATTACGTAAGTGGTATTAACTAAAGGTACGATCAGAACACTAGCTCGACACTCTCATTTGTGGTTGGTGCTAGAGGTGGTGCAAATGTGGTGGAAAGGTCATCGGATGCCCATCCAGTACGGGAGATTCTGTGCGTGCTTTTTCCGTTTCCGTTTCTGTTTCCGTTTTCGATTTTTGTTTTTTTATTCCCGCCACTGCCCATCTCATTTCTATGTACAGAGAAATTGGTTTTGCTATACTGACTAGTGTTTAACATCTGTTTGACTAAGCTATGCGTAATTTGGCAATTATCCCTAGGGGCTATGACCCAACCCGATCCCCTGTGTTTCTAGAAGAGCAAACTGTTGTTGCTGTACTTGGTGTCCGCACCGCTGAAGCCGTTCAGGCAGCTGTCCACCCCCGAGTCACCCTGGTCCTCCGTTTCCGGCCGCAGGGCCAGCTTCCCGCCAAGCGGTTCGCTCTCGAAAAGCGGATTCATTACGAAATCCTTCGAGGTCGCAGACACTGCCCTGAAACTGTTCCTTTTAAGGTCTTTGTGTAGCAGCTGCTTCTCGAACTGGGTCAGAACGCCAGCGGAAGGTCCTCCTGCCGTCGGACGTCTTTTGGACACGGACGAACCAAAGGACACCCCGCTACCATTGCTGTGCAGGCTCAAGGTGGACTGGGTGTGCCGCTTGGGCAATGAACTGTAGCTGCTGCGCCAGGAGCGCTGGGATCTTAAGTCGAAGTCATCGTCGTCACCCAAACCTAGACTTGATTCGCGGTAATGGGACGCCGAGGTGGAAGGTCGTTCGAGGGGCACTGACCTTTCGTAACCCAAGGAGTGGGAGGGGGAGGGGCGGCTGTTTATGAACTTTAGCGAACTGCTACGGCGCACTGGCGTGGATAGGGTCCAATGAGAGAGGTCGGTAGCGGTGCTCTGAGCGCTACTTGAAATGCGGCCATGCGGTGGATGTGGTTCTGGTACTTGATTTACCTCGTTGATCACGATGTCCTCCACATCCTCGGCTGAGATGGGGGCTGCAGCCTTTCCACTTCCCGTGCTGTCAGTGGGTGTGGGAGCATTGTTGATGTAGTAGTCGCGGCTATAGCTGCAGTTTAAAGATTCGTAATATACAAATAGTTATAGTTTTAAAAAAAGGCTTTGCATTTATCTTTTATGAAAACCCACCGCTTATAGTCCGTTTTTGGCGATGGCGGATCCGGATTTTCCGTCAGCGCCGATGCCAGTGCCTTGTGCTCAGCACTCGGGCTGATGTTAGGCACATCCATGTACCGCTCCTGGGTTCCACTGATGCGCTGCTTCAGGGCCTCCGGGGCGTATGGATTATTTGGCATCTCAACGGCGTTGTACCACTTCTTCACCTCGCGCTCCGCAATGGAACCTGAAAATTAGTCATTCGGCTCGTTAAGGCGTTACAGGTCAAATAGAAAGTGGGTCGATTTAGTTCACGGACAGTAATCTAAGAACTGGCATTTCTCTTTTTTTCCCAAAACTAAAACTGCTCTCCAGAGAAACTCTTTTTGTTTGATTACCATTAAAATTCAGAACTATTTTCTTTATTAAGTCACATTTAGTTAGTAAATATCATAAGTTATTAAACTCTATTATGCTTACAAAGTGTGAATTTTAATAGTCTAGAGCTTTGAAACCAAACAAAAACTGTGTTTATAAAAATGTTTGAGTTTTTCCTTTTCAAATATAATGTATAAGGAATTATTTTGAATAGAATTTAAATCGGAAATACCAGTCTTAAGATACTTTTGTTCAAATTCATTGTTAAACAAATCGACCCACTGGAATGTTAGGGATCAGCCTTTGGCGGGTCACAACACACAGAAGACAGTAGAGCCAGGCTAACATAGACACATATTAAAGCATTCAGGGAGGACAACAAACACCGAGAGATGACAGTTAAGGCCACAACCGTGTGTTACCTGGCACAAAGCGCCGCAACAGTACAACATCGTCATCGGCAACATCGTCTTGTTGGGCAGCTATTGATCCCCCGTTTGGCAGTTCGGTAGAATAGCTACCCGACCATCGAAGGGAACCATTTGTTAGTTTTCCGTTAGTGCGTCTACTACCCGTGGCCGGGTTGTTAGTTTGGGTTAGAGGAAGGTGTAGTTGGGCGTGCAGATTGTTGTTAGAGTTAGTGTTAGTATTCAAGGATCGCTGATTGTCCAGGACTAAGGCCCTCTCGCTAACAAACTCCTGTTCAGAGTCACCATCTCCGTTGAAAGTCTCACAGGCAGTGGAGGGTTCACTTTCATCGCTTTTGATTGACTCTGAACTTAATTGATCTGAGAAGAGAATTTCGTTGATAAAGTTATATGTGATTTCGCTCAAACTAAACGCAATGATGCAATCGGTTTCTACGTCTAACTCATCTGCCATATCACAGGAAGTTTGGCTGGCCATATCTAATCTAAGGATTACATTGTCACCTACTGTGATGACTTCTTCCAAATGACTTAAATGATTTTCAGGCTTATCTTCTGAAGTATAAGAACAAGTTGACGCGTCTATATCTAAACAAGCTTCATTAACGATATCATTTTCGCTTTCAATATCAAGAGATTCTTGTTTGTTTTCTTTACTGGCTATACATTGTGATGATTCTTCTGGGTCTATCCTGCTATTAATAATAAGGTCAGTTTCAGTTTCTAAGTCGTTTAAATTAACTTCAACAATATTTTTTGCACTAAACAAACGTTGAGATGTATCTGAATCCATACTTAGCTCATCTACCATGTCAGTTTCAGTCTTATCTGTATCAAATGCAAAGCAATCATCTATAAAACGAATCGGATCAACTTCAGAAGTGGGAGTTTCTGCTCTGCCTGTTGGGGGTTGCAAATCATTGGAGGATGCTAAGCTAATTTCGTTAATTTCATCAAAGATACTGGATTGAGACTCGTAGGCTACCTCTTCTATGCTATCATCCATGGAATCAAAGGAACTAAGGTACTTGTGCATGATCAAAGAGCGGCGGCGTCTGCGTTCGATTGTGGCCAGCAGTCGTTTGTCTTTTATGTAAAACTTGCAAATGGTCCCCAGGAGGTTTACGGGTTCGGATCTTATGGGTGAGTCTCCATCGCTCGGTGGTGTGTCTAGAATGTTCGGCTGCCTGCGCAGGAGCTTGTGGGTCGCTTTACCTAGAGCGGAACAATCGCTCATGGTAGAGTCTACTGATGGACTTCTTTGAATACCTTCAGCAGCAGGTTCCACTGCAGAGGCACTTTCCATTTTGATTTCCATCTCTGGATCATTAGTGGCAAGCTGGGCATCGTTTGATGAAATGGATTTGGCTTCATCACACGTTAATGTAGACTCCACGGTTGTGCAAGCTTGCAGTTCAGGCATTATAACATCATTCTTTGAAATATCTTCCGCAGATAGTGAATCCTCTCCAGTTTTAGTCACAGTTTCTTCTACATTGCCCAAGCATATTGGAACAGATTCTGCTTCTGGGAGAACTTCATCGGGAACTGCTGCAGCCTCTGGTGGTTCTGTTTCCATTGTATCAGAGTGTATTTCAGGAACTTTATCCCCTGAGGGTTCTTTAACTACTGGAACAGTTTTATCATCCACAGTCGCAGGTGGTTCTGCAGATATACATTGTGGTTCTGATACAGTTTCTTGTGGTCCTTTAGCCGAATCCGATTGCGTAATTTTTGTATATGGTGGATCATCTGCGTCATTGTTTGTTTCCGAAATAAGTTTAACAGGAGCTGTAGACTCCACATCAGTAGATTCCGAAACCACTTCCTTAGACGTATCTGGATTTTGGAGTTGAGGTTCTGAAACCGTTTCCATAGATGATAAAGAATCCAGATCAAGGATTTTAGGTTCTAAAACCACTGATGAAATCTCAGAATCAGCTTGAGAAAGAACTTGTATAGTATCCGGTGGATCGACAGTGTCCAATTTTGTTTCTGGGATAACTTCAGGAGGTTGCGGCTCTAAATCGACAGATTGTGTTTCGACGATTGAAGGTGCAGGTAACATTATAGGTACTAAGTCTCCTGGTTGAATAACGTTTTCACATGATAGAGGCTGCTCAGAAATAGATTCCGTCTGTGATATAGTTTCTTCAGGCTCAACCGTGAGAGGTTTTTCTTGAGTAATAACTTCAGCAGCAACTAAAGGTTCACCAGTGATGGTTGCCCCATTCGAATCGATTTCAGTAGGAACTGGCAAGACTTCAGTGACAGATTTAGCCTGAGGAAGAGACTCTAGTGGTTCTAAAGCATTCCTTTCTGCAGTTAATGAGGGTTCTAATGAGGGTTCTTCCATTGCAACGGTTTGTACAACTCCTGCAGGATCAATTGGTTCCACAGCAATGGTTTCAGTTTCAGGAACAACTTCATTAAGTACTGCATCTGATTCTGTATCTTTTTGGGATTCGAAGGAACACTGAACAGTTTGCGTTTCTGGGAATATTTCTGGAGATGATAGCTGATCATTTGCTGCCACTTCCGACTTGGGAGCATCATTTGACGGCGTTAAGTGTTCAGTTTCACTTTGCGGTTGTATTGGAACGGCGCCGGGGACATCTAAAAGAGTATCTACAGTCACTGGCTGTTCAAATGTGGTTTTAGGATCATGATTAGCCGGACATATTGGATCCACGGATATTGGCTCAGATTGATCAAGGATTTCCTTAGACTCTAAAGGTTCTACCCCGGCAGATCCTGCCACATCATCATTAGAAAGAGGCAGATCCCCTGCGGAGGCATTAATTTCGGTAATGACTTCAACAGGAGGTAATTGTTCCACTGTGACAGTCTGTTCGATGTCTTCGGCAATACCTTGTGGATCCGTTGCGATACATTCAGTCACAGAAACATTTTCGACAACGACGGAATCACTGTCTGAAACCACTTTTAGAGATTCCGTTAAATCTATTGCCACAGTTTCAGAGCAAATATCAACAGACGCTACGAGTTGCGCATCGGTAACTTCTGTAGGTGCTACTGCAACGGGTTCAACAGCTGCATTGCTTTCCACAGCATTTGAAACATTCACTGCTTCAGCTTGTCCTTCAAGTCCAATTTGAACAGCGGGAGTTTCGTTTTCAACTTCCGAAGTCGTCATGAGATCCACTGGTGGTTCTGGTTCTACAGCACCTTCTTGCAACTCCACTGCGACGGATTCGTTTTCTTTGGACTCTGTCTCACTTATCATGGATGATTCTACTTGGGGAACGAGTTCAACGGCAGCTGAGGGTTCTACTGCGATAGATTCCGCACATTGAACAATTGCCGCAGGAGTTGGCGACTCTACTTGAATGGAATCAGCTTGGGTCACAATTTCCTCAGGAGGTGACGGCTCTACATCAACAGAATGCTTCTGTTGTGTTATTGCACGTTCATCTGAAACCGTATTATTGGACACCACAGACTCGACGAACTCTGGTGGGTTTACGGTGACGTTTTCCGCTTTAATTTGAACAGGCGTTGGAAGGTCAACATTGACAGATTCAATCAGTGTAACCTTTTCTATAGATTCTGGTGACTCGACTGCAACACTTTGTGCTGTTAAAGGAAGTTCAATTGGAGCACTGTTCACATTTGCTAATGACCATTCTTTATCAGAATATATTTGTGATATAACTTCTGTTGTCACTTGTGGTTCAAGATCTTCAGATCGTGGTTCAGGAATAGCTTCTACAGGTAGGATTGTTTCAGTATCAGAAAAACTTTCTAATGGAGTTGGAAGCTCTTCTAGAACACATGCTGGTCCTGGTGTATTTACAATAACAACTTCCCCAGCTATTGGAGTACTTGTACAGATAGAAACGCCTTTAGGAACATCCACAGGCTGCATAGGCTCTTCTAAAATCACTTCCTCAGGTGCTGAGGTCTCTGCAGCGACATCTTCCACAATCTCTGAGGGCTGAGATTCTTCGGTTTGTCTTGAATCCGTTTCCATTTTCTTTAGGGGTTCTTCTTGAACAGGTTCTATCTGAGAAATGTCATCTTTAATTTCTGGTGGATCTACCATAGCTTGTGGTTCAGTGCTAACTTCCAATGGAGCTTGCACAGATCTATCGGTTTCAAGTTGGGTAACAATATTTATAGAATCTATTGATTCCACAGCGGCACGTTCAGGTGAGAGAACATCTTTCGCCTCAGTCGCACCAATTTTCACCGTTTCTGATTCGTCGTGGGGAATAACTTCTGAAGGAGTTGCAGCAATATCGACGGGAGCGATGCTTTCGATTGCGACAACTTCCACTTCTGGAACATCTACAATCGGAGGGGGAATCTCTGGGTTAGCTTGTGTACCTGGAACAGTTTCCGCAGGCTGTGGTGGAACTTTGGTAACAGTTTCGACCTCAGCTGGAATTTCCATTCGTACATCTGATCCCGCAATAGCTAAATCTGATTGTGGGGTGACTTCCTGTGGTAATGGTAATGGAGAATCCACAGTGACGGATTCTGCATCTGAAATAGCTTCAACAGAAGCCAATGGTTCCTCTATCTTAGGAAGATTTTCATCAGAGTTAGGTGATTCCACTCCGACATCTTCAGCTAGGGAAACAGTTTCTGCAGTCGTTAGGTGCTGATCTCTAAAAGATTCAGAAGAATCCAATGCAATAGATGAGATTTCTGGAATAAGTTCGACAGATGGTATTGTTTCCAATGCAACTGAATCCGTTTGAGCCTCAGCCTGTAGTTGTTCTACTGCTAAGTTCTGCGGCTCCGTGACTTTTTCTGCATGGTCTACCGGTTTCACATTCACAGATTCTATCTGCTTTGCAAGAGTTTCTGATTGATCAACTTCTTCAGACTCCAGCTTTACCACAAGTTCGACAGGACTCGGTATGTCTTCTGCGATGATGTGTTCTTCTGCGATTGTTTCCTCAAACGATGAAGCTTCCAAAGGCGCGTTCTCTGGAGCAATTTCTGGGGGCGGTATGAGTTCCACAGCAACAGGCTGTGTTGCTGGATTCGTATCTGCCTGGGGAACAGATTCGGGAAGAGATACGGATTCGAGTGAAATAGATTCAGCCTCTGGAATCAATTGAGATGGTGTGATATGTTCACTCTCCATAACAATTGGAGGATCCTTTTCGGCAAGTCCTAATTCAGAAACTAATTCCACTGGCGATGGTATATTCTCAGGCACAGGACGCACCAGCTCTTTTGGCTCAACAGTAGAACCCCCGATATCAGCATTTTCTCCTGAATTTGCATCTGTAAAAGTAACTTCCGCTGGCAATGAGTTCTCCACATCAGAAGATCCAACTATCGGTGTAATTGGTTCCACATCTATAGATTGAGATTGTGGAATCATTTCTAATGTGGCTTCTCCCTCGTCCTGCACTTCTCCTCCTTCTATAGGTTCTGGTACATCCACGGCGACTGTTTCAGCTGGTTGTGACTCCACAACTATTCCTACTGAAGCTATCGGTTCAACAGATAAAAGCTCTGTGTTTTCAGATGATGAAATTTTAGAGGCATCTGTAGATTCTGGTGCCGGTGCTTCAGCAACCGGTTCGGCCTCCGGAATAAGGTCTACTGGCACCGGTATTTCAACAGGAGCTGGGAGTTTTGGGGTCTCAACAGAATCAATTAGTGGAACATCTTCTACAATTGATGGTATATCCACCGAGACCAATTCCGTTTCGGGAATCACTTCATCAGGTATTGCGAGTTCCACAACTTCTATTGGATCCGGAACAGTTTCTGATGGTGCCACAACAACGGTTTCTGTCTGTGAAGAAACTTGAATGGGTGATACTGAATCGATTGCGATGTCTTGAGGTTCTGAAACCATTACAGTTTCGGTTGGTTGTGTCTCTGAAATAGTTTCCAAGGGCTCCGGTGGTGGGTCTAGTGCAACATTAACTTCCACAGGCAGTTCAGATTCCATTATTACAGGTTCCGGAATCGTCTCCACAAAAAGCGTTTCTGGAACAGGCATATCTGTAACAGTTTCTACCGGCGCTGGTATATCCACTATAGAGGGCTGTGTTTCTGATACAATTTCCGGAGGAGCTAAAGGATCGACTATTGACGATGGCGTCGTTGAAACAATTTCATTTCGCTCTAAGATTGTTTCTCCAACATTATCTATTTTAGTTGGTGAAGGATCCTCTGCGACACATTGGACTTCGGAAACTATTTCCAAAGGTACTACAGGTTCAACGCCGGCAGATTCTGTTTGAGGAATAAGTTCTATAGGCACTGGGTGACTCGTCATAGTGTTAGCTTGATGCTCTGTAACTATTTCCACAGTTTCTGGGACAATTTCCAAAGTTTCCAAAGTAATAGCTTCGGTTTGAGGGACCTCATCAGAGTGTAATTCCTGAGCAACGTTTACCACCTGATCTATCTCAATGACGGGTTGTAAGGGTGCTGGTATATCCATTTCCAATGGTAGTACTTCTGCAACAATACCCGTAGATTTAGATTCCGTATCTGGGATACTTTCAGCAACGGTTTCGTTTGCCTTCGATTCCGGTTGTGATTCTAGGGGAACTTCCAATGGCGCTGGTATATCCATAGGAACAGTCTGTGTTTCTTGATCAATTTCTGTAGGCTCTGATGGGCCATCGCCGAGGGAGATCTCTTGTGGTTGGTCAGATTTCGGTTGGTCTGATTGCTTTTCTAAAACATTTTCCTCTGGAACCGCAACGAAAAGTTCTGCATCTTCAATAACTTCTATTGGCGAGGGCGGTTCCAGTTCAGAAAGAAGTTCCAATGCTGGAGGGGGAGGTACTACGTCCGTCTGAATAACACTGTCTTGCTCTTCTAAAGGCATTAAAGTTGAAGATGTAATCTCTTCCAGCGGAGGAGGTTGTATAATATCCAAGTGTGGCTGTAAGACAATCTCTAAAGGTTCGTTGTTCTCCTCCTCAATTATTTCCAAGGAATGCGAGTGCACTAGGTCCACAGTGCGAGCGTTAATCTCGGCGAGGGCCAAGTCACTCAGCTCCTTGAGAGTGTGCATCTCACTGGGTGTCATGGCACCAGGCTGTTCAGACGCTGGAACAGCTAGCATGGGTCCCAAAGCCATGGCTGCCAAGATCTCGATCACCGATGGTACGGTCTCGTGCATTTGCTCTTCGTCGATGTACTCGACTGTGCTGAAGCCAGTGCAGCCATCAAGGCTAGCCAGCTCATCGGTTTCGCCTTCGGCTGTAACACAAACGACTGCTAAGTGCCGATGCTTTAAGATCACGCACATGTGGGTTGAGCTACTAAAGGACAAGGTTCCGGATGGGCTACATCAAAATTGGTATCAACGATCTAAGGAGCTAATGATCTTTATCTAAGGGTTAATTCAAGTCTTAGCAGTAGTTATGCGATAAAGTGTGTGAAGGTATATTTTGGAAAAGTTTAATCAAAAATTACCTGCGATGGGAGTGTGGTCTGGCTCCTCCTCTTTCAATAAGTCATCTTGAAATATCATTGGTGGTGGAGGTGGTGTTGGAGATGGAGCTTTAATATCAGATGGCACGGCCATCGGGGACACCACAAACTCATTGGTTGTCTCTGTAAATGCGGGCTCATGCTCCTCCAGCAATGTGTGGGACGTAAGACTGGTGCGATCCACCAGCTCATCGAGGACAAGCTTAGTGTTCTGGCCACCAATCAGGTGCTGGCTCAGCAGTCGATCGTTCAGATCGTTGCATCGCAATAGATCCAGAGAGCTCTCCTCTATATCTGAACCGATCTCCGAGAGATCGCTGATCTCGTCGGTGGTCTTATCGCCAATCTGGGCACGGACATTCTCTGTGGGTGCTGGCACTAGCATGCCAATGCTGCTCGGAGTGGCCGAGCTGCGTTTCTTCTTAAAGAGCCAGTTGTCTTCCCAGTTTCCATCACCGATCATGCCCGAGGAGATGGATCCAATATCTAGTAACGAGAGAGAAAAGAGTTCAGTACCTTGGAAATGTGGTTCAAGACAGGGGTAATAACTTACCATCCTCGGATTCGGTGACGGATGCTGAAAAGTCTGGCAGTGGCACCATATGTGCGGCTATATAATCACTAAGCACAGATTCCCTTTCCAAATCCGTTTGAAGGGACTTGGATTTACCATTCTGTTATCAAAGATACAAGTTTATATAGCGTTCCTAGAATCTATCTAGAATATCACTTACATCCAATCCGATTTCATGATCCGTGAGACTGCTATCACTGCGTGGCTCTATCGAGCTTCCAGACGTGGTGCTCAGCGCTTCGGCATTGAAATTCTCGTCAATGTGGCGACCACTCAAGTCCGGCGTACTCTCCGCCAAAAGCCTTGTATTTCCTTCCTTATCCGCAATCTGTCAAAGAAAGTGAAAAAAGAAAACAGCAAAATTTTAGCCCATCGACCTTGGCATTGTGCAATAAAAGTGTTGTTGAACCCCAGAGTTCCCGATTTGTTGTGGGTCAACTGCTTGTGCGACATAAAAAGCCTCTAAGCTGATTATACCCGGCAATATTTAACTAGCCACTCGACGACACTTGACGACCGTTCTTTCGTTTCGTCATCGATTACCAGCCAATATTGATTGAGTGTTGTGACGAAGTCAATTACTGCCCACGTTGCCGACGACGATTTGATTCGGAAATTGGGCAGTTTAATGCTGACTGGATTAGTAACGCTGTGATAAGATCGGAATACCAAAACTGATATGACTATTATAGTCATTTCACCAGGTTCCTGTTTTTATTACCAAGATATTTACATCTTTAGCTATATTTACTTGATCCCCCGGATCAGGCATGATCCTAACTCTGCTGCTGAAACTCTACGTTTTTCCAATGAATTGATTTATCCAATTAGCGCTGGGATTGAATTCGGTATTCTTCGGCTACTGCTGCTGGTTCGCTGGCTAAAACGTCTGCACGGGCTAGACAATGGACTGCAACTAATTAGCCTGGTCCGCTTCGGCGATGTGGCAACTGGGAAATCGAAGCCGCCCAAGTGCAGGCGGAATGGAAAGGGAAAACTAAACGAAGCGGGCCAGTTAAAATGGCGGAAATGACTAGAACATGGCTTACAAAGTGGTCGAATTTTTAGCGGTAAGGGGTGGGTAGTAGTTGTAGTACCACAGGTGGTGCCTCCAACATAGGTCAGAGCGGCTTACCTTATTCAGCACCGCCGTGGCAAGCAGATCCTGGTAGATCTTCGGCTCGAAGTAGTGCTCGGTGCGATGGCGCCGCTTCATGCCATTTCCATTGGCCAGCTCGGAAGCGTGGGATCTGGTATCCAGGCTGATTTCCGACACAGCTCCGCTGATGCTCAGGGAGGAGTTTCGCAGGGTCTCCGCTATGATGGTCTCGATGAGACTGCGTAGTCGGGTCTGCGAGATGTCGGCCAGCTCGGATTCGGCATTGTTGTTATTATTATTATTGTTGTTATGGTTCAGGCCATTGCCGTTGTTTTGGCCATTTACTATGGCTGGCAGATCTGAAAGCAAGTGTGGAACAGTGTGAGCAAAGTTTACAAGACCCAGAATGCTAGCCAATACCAGAGACTAACAATATGCTTGGTTAGCAGAGATCGATACAATTAAAAGTGAAAACTCAGTTACTTCTAGGCGAGTGTGAGAGTGAGTGTGAGTGGAAGTGGCAGTGTGTGAAAGGCAAAGAAAGTAAGTGAGTGTGTGAGTGTTTTAGCCATACCTAATTTCACCTCAATGACGTAAACCACGTAAAAGACAATTACGGCCAAAACGGCATACATGCCAGTGACTAGGCCCAAAGTAAAGTCCATGCTGCATGCATATATATATCTAGATATATTTGCGAATATCGTATATTTTTTTGATACCGCTGAATCGTTGATATCTCGCCTATTTGTTTATTTACGTTTGCTGCGGCGGTCCCAAGGCAGAAGGTTTGTGTTTGTATTTGGGTTTTGTTTAGAGCTTTCATTGATATAACGGTCGGCTGAGCTGTTAATTATATTGAACAAATATTAGAGTTGTTGTTTTTTTTTTCATTTCGCTGGCTTTGTTCCCCTAAGCTCCGAACATAAATTTGTCACCGCCTCCCCTAAACGCTTGAGCAACCGGAGCTCTAAAAACTTCGGACAACTCTAGTCAGGCTGAAAATCGCGACTACGGTTCGCATATTTATCATTTTCTTTTGACATGCTAAGTCTATTAACGTATTGCGGTAAATACCACGCCGCATAATGAATAACCCCGAGTTATCTATTTTGCGTTACAATGCCGCCCATATATCTTTATCTGCTGGATGTCTAGTCTATTCCCCGTTAGTCATTCAGGTGTGCAAAAATGTCACAGACGCAAACTTTTGTGTCCAGAACAGGCATTAAGCGCGCGAGTTGCGAGTCATCAATGGAAATAGCCCCTGAAACTGGCCCCTAGGAAAGAATCAACCGGATCACTACTCATTGTCTGACAGATTATTCTACGACTCGAAACTCCAAAGTTCAGGGTTCAGGCGAAATCACTCGGCATCAGGCAATTATCACTAGGTATTTTCCACTTTTTAACATTTATTCGACCGCCCTGCCAGTGGGTTCAAGTGGCCCGATAATGCCCCTTCAGACTGCTCCGACTTCGATCAGTTAACTGGGCCCGCGATAAGTTAGGTGCACAAGGTTTTACTCAGCGAAAAGGTTTTATTTAGTTAAGGTCAAAGATAAACTACAGGCAGTGATTTTGGTTACGGAAACGTGTTGAAAGTCCACGATCATCATTTTCACGATCATAATTTGTTGTTAATCTCGGGATTACACATTCAGAGCTCTAAGCGGGGATATCGGGGGTCATTAATATGTATTAGCGTTGATTAAGGTCTCTTCCTCATCTGACGCGTTGTTTTACCTCACGATTATTGATTTCTATTTTTGCTCATTTTATTTTTTTGCCAACTTAGTGTCGGGTCAAGGTTGGCGATAGCTCATCACCTAATGCGGTCTCTGGTATGTTTGATTTAGGGCCTTATCTCTGCAGCTGGAAAAGTTCCTCTAACTGCTGGCCGGAATTCTTGTTCTATGCACGATTAGTATGTTGTTCTATTCCATGTTATCACACGCGTTTCGGCCGGACTCTTTTGGCCCGTAGCTAAATTGGCGTTACGATCACGGCGCGACGCTTCTGGCAACTGAAGCGGTACTCCGCGATTGCCGAGCGGCGAACGGTGTGCGTCTAAACGCTCACTCACACACTCCAGTTCATATTTCGTATACGTATGGGGACCCTACAGTGGGCCTGATTGTGAGATTTTGCTGAAAAGCAAAGTTTGGCTTTGAAATTTACAAGCAGTTAACCGGCTAAATTGCCGAACTCAGCTGTAAGCGTGACCGAATCAATCGGTTGTTAAGACTCAACCCCTTGAGTGGTCTTGTAAGTAAGACATTTACGCCAATTTTCTAAACACGAAACCTGTTGGTGAGCAATGCGCCAACGCTGCGTATGATTAATGTCTATCGCTGTCTGTCATCTAAGCTAAGGCCGGGATTTCGTGCGGCCCAGCACTTGTATCATAATGTTCTCGCTGCCATCGGCACTTCAATAGCTAAAAAGCCTTATCAAAGCCCTGGGTTCTTATCACCGACAAGCTGACTCTTTGGCATTTCTTATCAAGAAACATTGACCGCGATTTGAGTTGGTTGGAAAGAGAGGCATAGCTAGCCTAGATTGCAAGGAGAGAGAGAAAGAGAGTTGCAGACTGTTGATTTTGCTATTTTAATTGGACGCTCTGGTTATGGCCGTCTGATAAGAACTAGCATTTACTATATCTGCAATTGATTCATAGATTTGTTTTAGGGCCGCGGTACAATCCTTGAACATATGTACCGTTTCAATGCAGGGCAATAAAGTTTGTTAGCCGACGTGTGCCGGGAAGTTATTTCGGTTAGGGGTTACTTTACTTTTTGGTTATAATGTTTTATACATGGAATTAGAGGAATATTTCTATTTTAATGTATTGAAAACAGGGGCCGTTGTATACTGTTAAACTCTGCCTGAAATATTTTGAAATCGATTGGAAGGAACTACAGACGAACTTCCTTTACTTGAACTTTCCTAACATCGAGTTCCAAAGTGGAAAAAACTTTAAAGGCAAGAAACAGTGTAAATGCACTTGGAATATATTTCATAAAATTAAATCTCCAAGTTATAAATTTTTTAAGGAAAAAACTTCATAAAACTGGATTAAACTTGCTAGTACAAAATTTAATTAGGGAATCTAGAATTCTGTAAAGCAAGCTGAAAGAAAAAAGCTAGTAATTTTCGTATATATAGAATGGTTTCCGACTCTTTAAAAGATTGCATAAATAAAAATAAATGGATATTGGGACAGAAGGAAATTATAAAGTCTAAAGTAGGATAGCAACACTTGATAAGATATAACATATTTATAGAACCTAAAGTAATAAACAAACAACTATCAAAGATATTGCCTACAAAAACTACTATAGAATATAGGTTAGCATACAAGACAGACGATTACGATTACAGCGTGCGTGCTCGATCGATTAGTGACTATCGATTACCGACTACTTACCTCCATTGAGCGCACGCGCGCACAAATTGTTTTCCACATTGATAAGCAGGTTACTCAGCTTCGCATGGAATTTATCAAAGAGTTGCAAGTCTGATTTGCATGTGTGTAGCATGTGTGTGAGCGTGTATGTGTCATGTGTGTGTGGGGTGTGCAAATATTGGTTAATGAGCGAACAGAATAAAGTAGACAGAAAGACTTTCCAGCAAGCTCTCACTGGAAAGCTTGCCTAAAAGTATGCTTCGATTTAACATTCGTAGCCCAGCAACAAATGTTGCTAAGGCCCAAGCAACAAAAGTTGCACATTTTCAAAAAATGTAGCCGCGCCAATTGCTTTTGATTTGCACAAATTGCATGAATTGCATTTGCTCTAATCGAATCTCGGACAATCTGTGTACTTACAGTTCTCGCTTTTGGACAGCTGCCCCACTTTAATGTGGTCCAAATTACCGCCCAGCATTTCGGCCACGATCTCCTCTACATACTCGCGGATCTTGGCCCGCTCATCCAAGTTGGCCGTCTGGCCAATCTGGCTAACGCTTTCGAATTCTGCAAATGTATATTATATATCCTCTGACATATAATACCGGGACCATACTTACGCATGCTGCTGTCGTTGCCATCGCCCACAATAGGTATGTAAACCTCACTCCTCGCCCTCATTGGATAGACGAACTTGTGCTGGTTGAAGGACATCTGCTCGGCCACCCACGAGGAGGTGTGGGCCAGCGACTCCTTTGAGCTCTGGCACAGCTGGCACTCCCACTTGGCGTCCTTGGGACGCCAGTCGGCGCACTTTGGCCCACGGCAAACGGATTTCCCGCAGGTGCAACATGTCACGTAGCTGGGGAGGCGAAAAGGAAGCAAATTGGTAAAACATTCGTTACTTTTGTACGTTGTTTGCCTAAGATGTCTGGAGGGATATTTATAAGCTTTTTATAAATCCTTAATCTTAATCTCTTTTCCAGCTTTATTTTTTCGTTTTTTGATTTTCAAGGTCTTACAAGCTCAGAGGGTTGTGGTTAAACTTTAAATCAGTCATATTATTAAAATAATATTATTTAATTACATTATATTAGAAAGACAGTCAGAAGTTCGGATGAAGATTTTGACTAAAAAACTTGATAAATGACTACATGCTATCTAGGCAATTAATCTGCGAGTTTTATGACGGATATCATATAAAATTTAGTAATAAATTTAGAAACTTGTTACAATTTAAATAATTACAAAAAAAAACCTATTTTGACACATTAACAATTTTAAAAATAAAAAATAACAAAGTATTTAAAAATATATTATAATAATCTTGCATATTGGCCTTGAATGGTGTTTATTAATAATTAATTACTCTGCTAAGAAGTTAAATCATTTTTACAAAAATAAATATTAGTCACATCGAGAATAAGAGAAAGTAACATACTTTCACCTAATATTATATTTTTGCATTAATTTGTATAATGATTAATATTTCGAACCTATCAAGCTAATATATACGTCAGCTTACTCAGCAAACAAATAGATTTTAAAATGCTGATAAGTATCAGCAATATCAACAATATGAAACAGGTATTTTGGCAAATTCCTCTGCCTAGGTGATCTGCCTGCCAGATATATGACTTCTACTCACTTTTTGGCACTGCCCAGATCCAGGTCCGCACAGCAGACGTTGCAGGTGCGATCCTCGCTGGCATCCTTCTCCTCCTTCCTCCACTTCTTATTGGCTAGTTTGCTGGAAGAAAAGGCGGAAGGAATATGTCAGATGTCAGTACGCGAACGTTTGGATAATCCGATACAACAGACGATTAGTCAGGTCAGTTCTAATGAACCGCTGGGGTTATTCAACGGCCAGAAGGTCGTTGGCTAAAACTCAGCCAATTAGTCGGTAGTCATCGATCGTGTTGACTAACTTTAAAGCTCGGCAAACACTTCCCCAAACAAATAGCTAAGGGGAGGGCAGCGGACTCCACCCAAATGCAATTGCATGGCGCAATCGACTTTCTCCGCGGCCGTTATTCCAGCAACTTGCATAACAGCTGAAAACCCGTTGGACCAGGCAAACAAAACTCAATGGGATTTTTTATAGCCAGGTTTAATCAACTTAGTACAGCAGTATCGCTTAGCTTAAAATACATGTAGCTCTATCACACATCTTACAATCTAACGAGACGTCCCGTCCCGATATGCATTCGGATTATGTCAGTCACTTACAGTTCTTACACAAGAGAGAAGAAGGGAATTCCTGGGTGTCTTGTACGTGCTCGAAATGAGCAATCGCCAATCGGTTTGCTGCTCAACTTATTCAAATGGCAAATTTCGCAATTTCGCTTACAAACAAACAAATATAATTTAAGGAAAAAGTCAACCATAAACAGCTAACGAAAACATTGCACTGGCGAAACACCGAAAACAATACAAATACAAAAAGCGTAGAAAGAAAGCTCAGTCAGAGAGTACCCGCTTAAAGCCGAACTAATTAAAACTAAACTCTAACTTAAATTCCCCTAAGTGGGCAGGTGTTGCTGCTGCTGCTGCTGTTGCTGTTGCTGCTGTCGCTGATGGAACCTCATCCTCCTGCGAGCCCAGTGCTCGTAGTTGTTCTCCAGGTTCTCGTAGTAAATCTGCTCCTCGGCATCTGGCCCTCCGTTCTCCTCCCAGTCCTCAGCTGGTGATCCAAACACCGGATCGCTGGTGGTCATTTTGAGTAGCACCACCTCCATGGTGCAGGCCATGAATAGGAAAGCCAGCACCGCGAAACTGATGGGCACGCACATCAGCCTCTCCACCTGGCACAGCACCACCGCGGAGAACAGCATTCTCCCTGGATCTGAGTAGCCTCGGTGTTCTTTCTGTTCTGGTTATTGTCCGAGCTCCAGGTGTGATCGGGTTTGTTGTTCAGGTATTCGAAATGTTTGTCGACTGATTAGCGCCGTTGGGCTTACTGAGACTTGGCATGGCACTCGCGTTGAACCGTTTTCGCCAATGGAAGCACTTAATGCCAATTCGCTATCAAATCGCGATCCGCGTCCCACGACACTGACAACTTTCTCGCACAAGGTTCGCCTTTGTTATGCGCAGTTGGCTTTGAGAGTCGGCGGTCAACAGCTGAGATCGAGTCGCTATAGCCTCCCCATGGAGACTCTCCATTCCATATTGCCATATCCCATGCCGGTTTCAATGGTGGAGAGCGTGCGCCTCTCTCTAGCGCTAAACAAACTCGTTAATGACGTAAGTTGGTCCCCCCTGCACACTATACCGTCGAACAGGTCTATATAGCTCAATCCGAGCCATGACTGCGCATATTTCCATGCAGATTTATCGCCTTTCTTCTCCGAACTCTGTGCTCCCCAAGAGCTGGAAAGCTGGTCAAGCAGGAACCGTTTCGGGGGGACGATACGTGGTCAAAAATCAGCAGTCAACATCATCGGCTGTCTACTGCATTCATTTGTCTACTAATTTATTTTTGGCAATATTTTTCCCGCTTGCCATCTTGGCCTGAACTTCATTAATTTCCAAATGCTAATTGTGAGAAACATTCCGCAAACGAGTTAGCTTAATTCTTGTCTGGCAAAAAATAATGTATGCATGCTGTGAGCGGTTTATTAACTAATCAATCGACTGGTGGCTGGATTCGAGTTGATTTTAATCACTATTTTGGCAAAAAACGGCGCCACGAATCGGCAACACTTTCATCGTTTTAGAACCCGGGGAACATATTTCACGAGGAGATCTCATGTCTTAAGATTCCATGGAAATCTGTGTTGAGAATCTGGGTTAATATATGTAAGTCTCCCATTAGCATATTCCCGCACGAGAAAGCCCCAAGCCCTCAGGTTCCGTCTATATTAATGTGCCAACCAGGCCAGAAGCTTTCACAAACCTCACAAGCTTCATTGATAACATAATCTTCAGAATTTCCCAGAATTTAAGAACGAGGATAAATTATTTCTCGGTACAATAGACATTTACACAGCGCATGTGGCACCATAAATTGTTTTATTGCCATGGAGAAATAAAGTTTTAATATCTTCAAGTTTATGATTTTACCTTTGTGAGATCATCACTGGAAATTACTATAACCCACTCGATTCCCTTGCAAAAATGTTTTAATTCTTAAATTTAATATTTTAATACTTAAGCCTAAAAGCATGCAATAAAATATTTGCTACGCAAGCAAGTTTTCATATTTTTTCAGCACCTTTTGCCACAAACCGAATATAATACTGCTAAATCATATATGGTATATCCGCTTTTGTTTAATTATTTGACACACATGTTGTTCTCACTCTCACATTCGGTTTTAGATCCCCACTTTCGACAGTCAAATATGCCTCGCATATAACTTTTTGTGGCTTTTCACTTGCCACAAGGCTAACAAAACTCGTTTGTTCTCACTTTAATAGCAAATAAAAACCAAGAATATCTGTGCATATCTGTGCTGTGCCATCGGACAGAGTTAATTGCACTTGACTGACTTTCCACAGTTCCACAACTTGTTTGGGTTTTAGCGTTGCTGCTACTTTTAAGACGCATTTATACTATGAAAACGTCTTTAAAACCCGGGAAATGATAAGTGAAATAGAAGCGCTCCGGCATTCTGACACATATTTAAGCTCAACAATGAATTCCGATTGAAATTAGAAGTTAAAGCTTAAATATATATACACTCCTCAACAAACTACAAGGAAATTTACTTCGATTTTGGGTTCAAATCTCAATGAAGGCTGAGAAAATATTTATTTTTTTTATTAATGTGTTAGATTTGCAAAAACCCCAGGGTTTTGAAACAGTACCCTTATACACTTAAAACTGATGTGTAACTACCGCCAAGTAATAATACAAATAAAATTGTCAACAAAGCGGCTAATTAAGTTGTCATTGAATGGTGACGAAAGGCAAACAATTGAGTCGCGTTGTTAGCCATGGCAAATTGTTATTGGCAATTCGTGACGCTTTTTAAGGAAAAAGCGAATATATGAGAGGGTGGAGGAAAGTGGTGCCCTTTGTTGGCCAACGACTTCCGTTGGCCATTCTTCAAGATACTATGGTTCTTATTGCCAAATTGGCGGAAAGTCAATGACAGTTCGTTTTGCTGGAAAGACTGGGAATGTTATGAAACGTCTAACGGAGCGACTAGCCATTGATGGAGCAAACCAGGTGCAGCATAAATTCGAAACAGGTGGCGGAGATTGCGCAATCCTTAATTAAGGCGAAGCTACGCATTAGATGCCCAAACTGAGCAACTGCAGCTGAGGCAAGTGGCAAGTAGCAAATAGCAAGTGGCAAATGGCAAATGGCGACTGGAGAAATGGCAACAATTATGTCAAATCTCTTTCATTTGGCCATTTCCCACACGCAAACGCAATCAAGTCAAGCGAAACGATGGACACGTAACCAGGTTGAAGTTGCACTCAAGAAAGTTTAGTTTCAGTTTCTATTCGAATTCATCCAGCAGTGCATTTGTATCTCCAGCTGCAGCTGCATATACGAGTATAAGTATACATATATGCAACTGCACGTGCGGATCCGGAGTTTAGCTCACGTAGTCGAACTTGTATCCATCGGATACAATATTTTGATTTATCTCCATTTGATTAACTCACCCCAAGAGATGCTGGGCGCCACATTGCAGCAGGTAGGCGCCTCCAATGAGACCCACCACGGAGGTGAGGCCCAGCAGTAGATTTCCGCTTACAGGTCGGTTGATTGGCAGCTCCATGATGCAGATGTAGGGGCGCATCCAGCGCTTTAAGCACTGCGGAGTTTTCATTTAATTCAATTACGATATCGATATCGATTTCGATTTCTTTGCATTTGAATTAGAATCACACACACACACATACAGTTATCGGAAGTAGCTCTAATTTAATTCCGCGTCTACTGAGACCCGCAACTCAACTAAATCAAAGAGATCGCCTCAGGAATACTCCATAAAACTATTCTTTTGTCTTATCAGAACCGAAAATTCCACCACAATATCGTTTTTTATAAGTTGGCTACCATCTCTTTGTGACAATTTTACGTGTTTTTCGGCCAATTCATACTTTGGCCTTAGTCTTATCAAAAAGTTTTTGTTTGTTCGGTTTAAATTACCTAGATTTCGAGTTGAAATTGTGTGGGTAGATACCCTTTACAGAGCATTTAGGTTTCAATAGTTACTATTACATTAGAAATAACACCTGTAATACTATTAGTACCAATGGAAACATCACGTAAGTGAATATTTTTAGGTATAGCACATTCTTGTCTAAAGCTTTTGCAATTGGTCAGACTTGATTTCGTGACAATAATAAAAAGTGATTACCAACATAAGGCCAAGAATAATCTTCATAATTATGTGATGTAATTGACTGCTAAGACACTCGTCATAAATCACTTAAGAAACATTATTCATTTAAGTATGCAAATCTTATCGTTTAGTCAGGATGCAATCACTTTTGAGGAGTTAAAATAACTTTGGCTAAAACCGTTTGAATCACGTACTGGTCGTTACTTATTTGTTTGTTTATTTGCTTAACTGATTTCCTTTGTGTTTATTTTTGCACACCGCGATTAGCACTAATTAAAGTTGATAAATGTATGTATGTGTTTTTTGCCAAGTTCTTATTGCCTGTATTGCTGTTTTTATGGCCAGATCTTTGATGGGAGTTAAAGGTTGCATAACTTTTTTGGGCTTTGCATAAATAATTTACCAAAATTATAGCTTCAGGCTGCGGTGTGTGTGTGTGTGGTTCTAAGAAAAAGGTTTTTAATTATCGTGTTATTCACTTCAGTTGGCATTAAAGTTGTGGATTTTATTTTTATTTTTATTGAGATTTTATTAGTTGGGGATTCTTCCAAGTGAACCGAAGTGAACTTCACCGGGGGAATATCTGAATAAATAATTACCACAAATTTTGATTTTTCGTTTGGCTTGTTATTTCTGTTTGCAGTTATGTACGACGATTATCAATCACTTTCCGGGGAATATCTTTCGGAGGTGTTTGCCACACGAACTCGGGCCGCTAATTGCCATTTCCTCGCACCACCGATCACCAATCACCGGCCACCTCACTCCATCTTCAAATAACCCGCAGCGAAAACAAACCCGCTTGCATGACGCAGAAATTGAAACAAATCGCGGCTATATACTCGTAACAAAGCTGATTAGGATCACGCGGCTAAGGGCCTCCGATCCGGTGGCAACGATCTACGGGTTAACTCAACGACTGGAGCAGCTGACTCCGACTGCGACTGGAACGGCGACAGGTTTGTTTTAGCCAAGTTGTGTTTGGTCTTGTTTACTTTTTTGCACAATATATATAACTGGGGTATATGGGCATTATATTGGATTTTGTTTGCCCACTTCGTTATTGCGATCGCGTATATAAGCCGAGCGTTTATTTGATAAGAGCTCCAGTGATAAGTATATAGCTCGGTATGCGACGAAAATTTCACAGATAAGTGTCAAGACCATTTCGGAGGCTAAGTCACATCCTCTTAGATATACTCTTTCCAATTGGGCTAATTCTACGACCTAATGTTGTTTCCAATACTTAAGTTCTTTAATTTTTTTTTAAATTTTATTCATTTTTTTGTTAGGTTTTGTGTGCGTTGCAGGCGAGTAACCAAAATGGAACTGGCCATTAGTGGCGCACTGGGTCAGAGCTTTGTCGGCCATGCAACAAAGGTAACAAGAGGGTGGAATGCAAATCCCCATTGAGCCGCCAAAAAGATGGACAGTTATGACCCCACCCCGTCCAATATATTCGTTGCCATTTGGCGCTGTCCAACGGACCTTATGCAAATGCAAATGCCACTTGGCAGCTGCCAGTCACATGTCCGCAGCTCGCTTGGTGGCAAGCGCTTGTGGCGGAAAGAAAAACCTCTGAAATCGATTGGCCCTGCCATTGGCCATGCAAAGCTAACGGCTATTAATTGGCATTAATCAACTTAATTATGAAAGGTTCGATAAGATTGCGACTCCACTCCTCAGGCAACGATACTCGTGTGGAAAAATGAAATTATCATGGAGTGGGTTAGACCTCTATTTTAGCTTTAATATTTTAAGCCGATTCTGGTATGCTCTTTGTGTACTCACAGGTGTGTATTTATCGTATAAAACTGTCTTAAATGATTAATAAAAACATATATGAAAAATAGGATTGATTTCTGAAACTAATCATGACATTAAGCATTTCCCTTACCAATCGAAACTGTTCTTGGAATATCGTTAATTTATATTCTTCAATAAACTGTGACCATACCCCAATAAAGTCAGCATTGTCTTTCAATGGACAGACAACAATACAGTCTGAAGAGGTTTCTTCAATTATGATCGCCAAACTGGGTTGGTCGCCCATTATCATTCTAATGGAACTTCCCCGCCACTTCGTACCACATTTTCCCAAACAAATTGCAAACTCATTTGAAAGCTCTGCGGCCAGAAGCACTGGGTTTCTCTTTGACAATTGTCGAAACGGATTCCCAGATGAGACGAACTGCTCACGGAATGACTTCTGGGTGTACGAATGACATGGCTGAGTGACTGACTGACTGACTGCGCCCGAGATTTTGTCATTTCCATTTTGAGGTCGCCAAATTTGCATAAATTGATATCCGCCCGCAGTCTGGGAGCTGGAGATGCATGCAGCCAATGCACTTACTGCAAGACTGTAGCTGTGGGCTCCACGCGCACTCAAAGCGGTTTAGGCCAATAAGCCAATCCCAGCTGCCAGTTGCTTCCGTTCTGGCCACATGGTAAAAAGATATATCACTAATGCTTATTATTTATTTTTTGAATTTGCCATTCAGTACTTTTGGTTGCTAATTAGATATACTCATAAGTCATTGTTAATCCATATTCGATGGAACTCTCAGTTAAGTAAAACCAGGAACCTGCTTGATTAGTGTTAATTTGAATCATCTTTGTGTTTAAGACTTTTATGAGAGCAATAAGAGATAGATGAAAGCCGGAGATAGCGGTGTGGAATTTACGTATAGCGCTTTCCCACTGCGCCTGTACTCACCTTAATCTATCGCGCAGTTGCTGGTGGGTGAGATGGTCCCGCTGCAATACCAGGAGGATGCGCTGGCACTGACTCAAACGCTGGCGCCTCCTCAAGGTGGGGGTTTCCGCCTCCAGCACCGCGATGCCACTGTCCACACTGGAGTTCAGCTGCTGCTGGGCGGGATCGGGACTGCTCTCCTTGATGTTGCTTTTGCTGTTGCTGATGTTGCAGGCTGCTGGCGAGGTTGCTGCTGGCGCTTCACCTGCCATGTTGGTGCTGTTGCTGTGTCTGTCGCCGACGGACGATGTGTATAGTTTGTTTGTGAATTTAGAGCGGCCCTAGGCCATTTCCGCACTCAGTATCTCGCGGATACACATGCAGGCACTTTCCTCTCACGCACATGAAACACTTTTGGCAAACAAATTTGCTTCACTGCCTTTTTTTGTGTGCTAATTACGCGCCAGTTACGACCATTGTTTTGCCACTGGAAGCGGGCCCGCACTGCCTTCGACTTGGGCCGCCAAAAAAAAAGTCGCTTACGGAGCAGCTTATCAGCCGACGCGATACACAAATTCAAGACTTCCCATGGAGCGGGGTGCTGTTGGTGTGTTTATGCCTGGGAGCGTTCGCTTTCGTACTGCAATCAAAGGAATTTTTGGTTTATTTTTACGGCCGGGACCCATAAACAAATGCGGCAGCAGATAACGAACTACCCGCCCCCTCAGCTCTCAGATAACCAGAATCTGGCGATGCCTCATCGCTCCCCATCTTAAAAAAGCGCCCCTGACGTCGCCGCGTTGGTCTGTCACCTTCGGATCCATATATACTCGTATATTCATGAGATATATATCTGGGTGTTGCTGCACCCAAAGTGAAATATGCATCTGCAGCTGCGCTTCGCACGCCCAAATATGTACATTTGTGGCACGTAATTACGCAGAGTGCTTCGATTTGGGCTGGTTAACCCATTTGGCTGGCAATGGGTTAAGTGGCTCAACGGTTCGTCTTCGCCAGAGCAGAGTCTATGGCCCCAGGCTCCCGAAATATTTGGCAAATGTCGGTTGGCGAAAAAGGCCAAAACAGAAATCCCAACAAATTGGAAAAGAGAAATTCTTGGTCTACAGTTTTGTTTTTTCTTTTTGGCCAGTTAAATGGTTGACTTGAAATGCTGACAGTATGTCTGCCGGAGTATCTATGAATGGATAGATGGATGCTTGGTTGGACGTATAGATAGATGGATGGTTGGTTCGAGCAAACAAGATGATTACGATTTCGTATTCGACGCACTTGTTATTCGGTTTTCAGAGTTCGTGGTTCGTTGTTCAGTGTTCACTGTTGATTGTTGTTATTTTCGGACAAGAGAAACAAAAAAGAAAGACCGACAAAAAAATAAGCTGGCCTGCGGGCAGCTAAAGAAATTTCTTTTGGGTGAAAACCGGCCGGACAAAATGTGGATATGTGGAAATTCTGTGAATGGGATTTGCTGCGGATTTGGAAGATAATTTGGGCTGTGCAACAGCATGATATGCAGTTCCCCAGACAATGCAGCAATTAAAAATGCATTTGCATGCATACCAAACTAAAATCCGGCGTTTTGCATATCATTTTTGTTGAGGTTGGTCAACAGAAATTGATTTCCATTCCAAGTGCATTACCTAATATATGCATCAGTTTTACCTGCCTATATAGATATGTATGTATCTCGGTGTGCCTGTTTTTGTTTTTGCTAGTTGGATTTTGCAATTTTCACACAATTGTTTGCGGCATTCGCATGGCATGTCGAATTAAGTTGTTACAGTAACTAATCTGATGATTAATTAGACAACAATTTCAGATGCAATTGGGTCGCCGGCAAATGGGTCAACTCCATCCGGAGAACTGGCTAAAAAGCTGTGCTTAAGCTTGAGCAGTCTGATGGCTCAATTAATTATGACATTTGTACAGAGAGAGAAATGAGTTGAGATGAGTTTGTTTTATTACAACTGCTGATCTATTTATAGAAGTTTTGATACACATTAATATGCGTGTGACTTTTATAGTTGTTAAAATTATATAAAACTATAACTATGTACATAATCAGAGTCATACCACAACTATAATAATATCAATGATAATGAGTAAAGCCTCTAAACTTGTACAATAGTATTCCCTATTCAACTGTCAATTGATTTGTATGATATGGCACAAAATTAAGCCATGTTCACTGGAAATGGTCACTGAAATGTAGGCCAAGTTTGGGTTTATTTTTCCTCTGTGCATATTTGCAAATATTTGAAGGGAAACTATTTATCAAGCAGCGGGTGAGCCTCTATCAATGTGGCTCGCACTAACGGTTTCACACTCTCTTCCCGGCCAACTTTAATAGCCATGCCACACACATGGACCCGCACACAGATGATGCACACATATACCGAAAGATATATGGATATATGGTGGTGCCGCAGGGCGCAGCCGCAACTGCCGATTCATTGGGAAATTAGTCAAAGCAATTCCACGCCAATGATGCGTTGCTCAGAGTTTCTTTTTGTGGTGAACTGAGCTGCCGCCCCCTTTTGGCCCCCTTTGGGTCCCCTTTAAGCCCCTTTTGACAGCAACAACAATCTGCTTAAATGAACGGAAGTCGGCAATGTAGACGCCAGTCGCTGAGTCGCTGGTTAATACTGTTAACCGATGCTGTCCGATTGGTTTTGGTTATCTCGGTTTTCTCATTTTTCTCGCAGTTACTTGCTCACTTTTGTTCGTTTTCAATTTACGGGTGAAATGGCTGTTATTTCTGTTTTTCGTTTGTAAAAGTTGTTTTCACAGCCATGGCTAACAAGAAAATAATGAACAAAAAAATTAAAGCACACACGCAGAAAATCAATGGCAACGATTGGATGCCAGCGGAAGTGCAACCTGTAGACATTTCTCACACTCGGGGGTTGTTCCAGGGTTCGATACAAAATGCATGCCAACTACAGTGGTCAATCGATAACGAAGAATATGAATATGAAATAGTTTCTTAATTTACGGAATATATTTACTCTTTGTAATGAATGTTATACTATTTTTTCGCTCCATAAATATAAACTTGATAATAAAAAATATATAAAACTTTGCGTCATTTGTAACTATTAATCATTTAGTCATTAAAGTCTCTGATAACTCGGTATGAGCAAAGATTAATAAAAAATTCTTAAGAAATTTATAAGCTGATAAAATTCTTCAGATTTATTTAATCTTTAAAATAGCTACTTTTCATTTTGGTGAGTCACTTAAACTGTTTTGTTAAAATTATTTTTTGCAAATAAAAGTAATTATTTGGATAGAAAAACTTTAAAGACAATTTTGTTAATTAATTATTCTTTGTGTAAATTTTGAAAGAACGCATAATTTTGTTTAATTTATAAATTTGTCTCAATTTTTAAATCATATTATCATATCAAAAAAAGTTCTTGATTTTTTCCCTTAAATGGTTCCGCCTTTCCATCTTGCACTGTGTCAGCAATGTTTTTGTTTTCGACTGACATTGACACCTGTTCACCCGTACACCCGGTCACCTGGTCACCCCTTTGGGACCCCCTCCACTGCCATTTATTCTTTCCGTTTTTCGTTTGTCGCTTTTTGTTTTTTATTGTCATTTGCT